ACTTCACTAAGGTTTAAAACTTTTGCTCCTCAGATGCATCATTAAGAAAATTAAAAGACAAGCTACAGAATAGAAAAAAATCTGCAAATCAGAGCTGATAAAGGAATTGTATCATTGATCATTGTATCCAGAATACATAAAGAACTCTTACAACTCAGTAAGACAAACAATACAATTTTTTAAAACTGAAAGAAAAAAAAAGGCCAAAGTAGACATTTCTCACACACATACACAGACACACAGGCTATACAAATGGCCATTAAGCACATGGAAAGATGCTCAATATCATCAGTCACCAGGGAAATGCATATCAAAACCTCAAGGAGATACCACACCACCCATGAGGATGGTTATAATTAAAAAGACAAAAAGCCGCCGGGCTGGTGTGGCTCAGTGGTTGAGCATCAACCCATGCACTAAGAGGTCCCAGTTCAATTCCTGGTCAGGGCACATGCCCAGGTTGTGGGCCAAATCCCCCGGGGAGAGGGGGGCGGCATTCAGGAGGTGGCCAACAGATGTTCTCTCTCATCGATGTTTCTATCTCTCTCTCCCTCTCCTTTCCTTTCTAAAATCAATAAAGAAAAAAATAAAATAAAAAGACAAAAAAGCCCAGCTGGTGTGGCTCAGTGGACTGAGTGTAGTCCCATGGACTGGGAGGTCCCAGTTCAATTCCTGGTCAGGTTACATGCTTGGGTTTTGGACTCGATCCCCAGTAGGGGGCTTACAGGAGGCATCCAATGGATGTTTTTCTCACATTGATGTTTCTATCTCTCTCTCCCTTCCTCTCTCTAAAAAAAAATCAATAAAAAATATATTAAAAAAAAAAAAAAGCCCTGGCCGGTTTGGCTCAGCGGTTACAGCGTCATCCTGCGGTCCAGAGAGACCCGGGTTTGGTTCCCGCTAAGGGCACGTACCTCAGTTGCAGTTTGTCCCCGGCCCTGGTTGGTCGTGCAGGTGGCAGCCACTCGATGCGTCCTTTTCACGTCGATGTTTCTCTCTCTCTTCCTCTCTCTCCCTCCCACTCTATCTGAACAAAAAATGGAAAAATGTCCTCGGGTGAGGATAAAAAAAAAAAAAAAAGACAGCCTTGGCCAGGTAGCTCAGTTGGTTATAGCATCATCCCGATATACCAAGGTTGGGGGCTCGATCCCTGGTCAGAGCACACACAAAAATCAACCAATGAATGCATAAATGAGTGGGACAACAAATTGATGTTTTTTAAATTTTATTTTTATTTTTTTATCCTCACCTGAGGACTTTTTTTTTTTTTTTGCATTTATCTTCAGATAAAGCGGAGGGAGAGAGGGAGGAAGAGAGAAAGAAACATAGACATGAGAGAGACACACATCAAGTGGTTGCCACCCACACGACCCAAACGGGCCAGGGACAAAATGCAACTGAGGTTCGTGCCCTTAGCGGGAACTGAACCTGGGACTTTCTGGTCCACAGGCTGACGCTCTAACTGCTGAGCCAAACTGGCCAGGGTTGTTTTGTTTTAAAAGACAGACAAGGAAATGGAGAAATTAAAACCTTCACACAGTGCTGGTGGGAATAAATGTAAAATGGAGCGGACACTATGGAAAACAGTCTAGCAGTTCCTCAAAAGGTTAAACATGTAGTTGTCCTACAACCCAGCAATTCTACTCCTAGGTATCTACCCAGGAAAAATCCACAGGGCTACACAAATGTTCACCAGTATTCATAGCAGCATTATTCATTAATAGGCCAAAAGTGGAAATAACCCAAACATTCATTAACCGGTAAGTAGATAAAATATACTATATCCATACAATAAAGTACACACACGCTACAATGTGGATTCAGCTAAAAAACATTATGCTAAGTGATAAAAGCCAGACACAAAAAAGACTACATGTTGGGATTCCATTTATGTCAGATGTCCAAAAGGGCAAATTTTAGACAGAAAGCAGATTAGTGATGAGATGGGGGTAGGGACTGACTACACAGAGGCATGAGGAAACTTTGGGGAGTGATGTAAATGTCTAAAACTGTGGTGACGGTTGCACAATTCTATAAATTTACTAAAAAAATCACCAAATCATATGTTTACAATGGATGAGTTCTAAGGCACACAAATTATAGCTTAATAAAGTTGTTAAAAGTAAAATAAATACAATGAAAACAAAGCAAATTTTTATTTTTTTCCTTTATTGGTTTTTGAGAGAGGGGAAGTACGAGGGAGAGAGAGAGAGAAACATCGATAAGAGAGAACATCGACTAGCCACCTCCTGCACACTCCCAACTGGGAATTTGGCCCACAACCTGGGTATGTGCACTGACTGGGAATCGAACTTGCGACCTCCTGGTGCATGGGTTGACGCTAACCACTACGAAACACCGGCCAGGCAAAGCAGATGTTACTAACTTCAAGCTAAGTACTGTTGCAGTGTATGCTTAAAGTCCCAGAAGCAAAAGAAAACTGGACAAGAGATCTTAAAGTTCTCAACACACACACAAAAAGTAACTGAGGTGATGAATTTGTTAACTAACCTATTGTGGTAATCATTTTACAATATATACATATATCAAGTCACCACACTGTATACCTTAAAGTTACATATGTTATATGTCAATTATATATTTTTTTCTTCATTTTTATTTATTGACTTGAGAGAGAGAGGGGGAAGGAAAGAGAGAAACATGAATTTGTTGCTCTACTTATTGATAATTTCATTGGTTGCTTCTTGTATGTACCCTAACCAGAGATCAAACTCGAAACCTTGGCCTATCGGGACAAGGCTCTAACCAACTGAGCTGCCCCACCAGGGCCCAATTATATCTTAATAAAGCTGGGTGAAAAATTGGACAGTGGTAGAGGTATTTAAAAAATATTAGCACCCAAGGATTCTTTCTCCTTGATATAATCAACGAAACTGGCAGGGACCTGTAATACTTTCTCTTAAAAACAACTGAAAAGTCCATGGGGGCACCTGCTAAAATCATCTCAAATACCCCTGTAGTCCCTAGTCCACTGCTGGGGAAACACACTAGAGTACGCTAAGGTCCCTTCTGCCTCAAACTGACCTTCCCTAAGCAAGGGATGAAGAAGCAGAAAGGACAGCCTTTGGACTGGACAGGCCCCAAATACTGCTGTTGCTGGCAGCAAAACCAAGGTGGCTCATGGCATTCACCTGGGTGTCAGCCCCAATCCACTAGTTGCAGCTGACTGGGGGGTTCACTGGTGGATTCTGAAACCAAGTCCTGGCTCAGTGGGAAAGTGTTTCCTGTCTGATAAGCAAGCTCTGCCACTCGGAACCTGAAAATGGTACTGTAAATACCTTGTATCTGTGGTTTTGTACAAAGGTCCAAGTGAAGGGACATCAAGTTTGCTCTGGTCCCAGGTGACAGGAGGTGCCACATTAAACTTTGATATTTTTGCCACACCATTGGTAACTGCTATTAGGGTCTGAGCTGTCATCTGATTTCCTTCTTAAGCCATTATAGCAGCTAATACTTTTCGAAGACCTCTTAGGTGCCAGGCACTGTTCTGAGTACAGTACCAGGGAAAGTCCGTTTTACAGATGAGGAAACTGGGACCCAGGGGGCTAAGCAACTTGCCTAAGGTCACTCAGCTAAAGACAGGCTGGAAAAACATCAGCAATGGAATAGGATAACTTCAAACAACTGCTCTATCAAATCTGGGGAAGTCAGCCCACAGGGTCTCCAGGGGATACCCAAACCAGGCTGGGCTGCCCTGCCCCTGTGCCTGGGACACAAGCAGGCATGGAGATCTCCCCGACTAGTAGGCAACAAGTACCTTCTGCCCAGTTCTGTTTGCCTCCCTTCTGACTGTGCTAAATCCATCTCCACCCCCTTCATTACCAGTAGCCCCGGACACTCCACTTCTTTCACCTTCCAAAATCAGGACAGAGCAGTTCTCAAACTTGAGTAGATATCAGATTCACCTGGAGAATGGGCTTTAAATGCAGGTTCCTTGGCCCCCAGCAGGTCTGAGGCAGGTCCTGGGAAGCTTCACCTCTGATGGAAGCTGGGAGTCCTGAACCACATTCAAAGAAAACCCAGCCTGGTGAATGCCCACAAGCCAACTGTGAGGCCTAGAAGATCATATCGGATCAGATGCTGCAGAAGCCAGGATTAGAGGACCCAATATGAAAATCTGCATGAGGTTCAAACTCCCTATCCTCTTTCTTCTCTCCTTTCCATGACAAATAACCAGATGAGATGGACAGTGAGGAACTGGAAGTCAAGTTCTGGGTCAGGCCACACTCATTGTTAGAGGTAGCAGAACAAAGTGGGAACAACTCGTCTGGGAGTTGGCTTCCTAGTCCCAGATGTGCCTCTGTCTAGCTCTGAGATTCTGGGAAAGTCACACCCTCCCTGGTGGCTTTGGTCTCTCCTCACAGAAAAAGGAGACCAGAGAACCCATAGCCACCACCTCAACCATTCTCCTGTTCTCCTGCAAGACTCCCAGCCTCTTCCCCCTGGATTATAATCATCTCCTTGGGCCCAGCCTCACTCTTCCCACCACACAAAGGCGCCAGGAGGTCACAGGAGAGCTGAACCTCTGTCCATATCGGATGGAAAGTGTCCTGAACCACTGGTTGGGTCCACACCAAGCCACCAAAGAAAGCCCAAACCGGCAGTGATGTGATGTCAATCTTTATGACAATGACCACTTGTGTAAGCACAAGCGAAGTGCCGGGCACCGTGTTAACCCCTGGACAGCGTCGCGCCCGAAACCTCACCCCAGCCCTCCTGCCCTAGGCGCTTCCCGAGGGTCTTCCCAGGGTGCAGACGGGGCGCTGAGGCACGCGGGCGAAGTGACTGACCCAAGGTCACCCATCCTGGACCAGGCGGTCAGCCCAGGGCCCCACACACGCCCCGGGGTTCGGGTCGAGAGCGCGCGGAGCCCCGGGCAAGGAGGCGGCAGGAAGGGCCGGGGACCCAGCAGAGCCCCCACCCCAGCCCTGCGCGGAGGACCCCGCCTGCTGCCAAGCCCGCCGCGGCCGGCCACTCACCGGACTTCGGGGGGTAGCGATAGGCCGAGTTCGCCTGAATGTCGATGTCCTCCACGCCCGCGATGCGTCGGCTCAGGATGGAGCCCATGGTGCGCGGCGCCGGGCCGGGCCGGCGGGGACCGGGCTGGGACGGGGGCGGCGGCGGCGGCGTCTTCACGCAGACATGGCCCGGACCAGGCCGCGCAGACTTGCCCACGGCCACGGAAGCCTGGGCCTCGGAGCCCCCACCCCCGACTCGGCCGGGGGCCGGACGCCACGGCGGCCCTCCCCCCGCCCCCGAGGCACCCCGGGAAATGGAGTCGCCCGGCCTCCGCGGCCCCCCGGCTGCGGAGCGGAAGGCACGGCCATCAACTACACTTCCCAGGACGCTCCTCGCGCGGCCCCTCTGAAGTTGTTGACAAACGCTCCGGGACAAACCAAATGGACCAGAATCCAGAGAGGCAGAACCATCAACCGCACTGCACAGTGTCCCTCCCTCTGCATTCCAAACACAGCATTAACACTGTAACTCTTTAGCCTCCTAATAATCTGTTCACATATAGACCCCTCTATTTATCCCCTTCCATTTACCCCTCTCTGAAATAGCTCCTTGAGCCACCATGGTTTTCCCCACTTCCCAGGGTTTATCTCCTGCCTCGGCCAGCAGAGGGCACACATTTACCTGCCACCCGATAAAAGCTGGGGTGGAACCCAAGCTTACCTGCAGAGGTGCTCAAAGAGGGAGCGAAGGGCTTGCCTTAGCCCTTTCTAGAATGCAAGGCATTTCTCCGGCTCTGGGTTCAGAACAATTACTTTTAAGACATAATTTTATTTTATTTTTTATTTTTTTATCCTCGCCCGAAGACATTTTTCCATTTTTTGTTCAGATAGAGTGGTAGGGAGAGAGAGGAAGAGATAGAGAGAGAAACATCGAGTGGCCGCCACCTGCACGAATAACCAGGGCCGGGGACAAAATGCAACCGAGGTACGCGCCCTTCGCGGGAACCAAATCCAGGTCTCTCTGGACCGCAGGCTGAGGCTGTAACCGCTGAGCCAAACCAGCCAGGGCTTAAGACATAATTTTAAAGCCCCCTGAAGAGGCAGTAGACCTCTCCCCACTTCACAGATGGGGAAACTGTCACAAAGAAGGGAGCTCTGCATATAAGATCAGGATTAAAGCCTTGAAGGTTGCAATGAACTTTCCTGGCTTTTGACTTACACAAAACTCAGCAATAAACATGGGGCTCTGTTTTTACCTACTTTTCAGTTGGGAAACCGGGGTTCCTAGAAGTAAGTGACTTCCCAAGTAAAGCCTGCTGTATCAAGAAAGCAACTAAGTCCCTGGCTGGTTTGGCTCAGTGGTTAAGAGTTTCCACCTGTGGTCCAGAGAGACCCAGGTTCGGTTCCCGTTAAGGGCACGTACCTCGGTTGCAGTTTGTCCCCGGCTCTGGTTGGGTCGTGCGGGTGTCAGCCACTCGATGTGTCCCTTTCACGTTGATGTTTCTCTCTCTCCCTCCCTCCCTCCTACTCTATCTGACCAAAATATGGAAAGGTGTCCTTGGGTGAGGATTTAAAAAAAAAAAAAAAGAAAGCAACTAAGGAGGGCAGCAGCTGGGTAAGTCTCAAATGGTAAATTCATCGCAGTCCACATTAAAACGAGTCCTGTACCTTTCTAGAGGCCAGAATCCAGAATACAACCTTCTATTGTCAGGGGACCAGGAAGGCAAAACTAATAAAGGAAGTGAAAGATTTGAATAATTGTGAGGGAGAAGCTGTGTCTTCAGAGAGCCTGATCAAATCTTGCTAGTCCACAACCAAGATCCCTTTTTACTGAGCACCTACTATGTTCTAGGCATTATGTTGAGGGATTTGCACATATTCTTCTTTAATTCTCTGTCAGTTCTATTTTCATTACCTATTTACAGAAGAGAAAAGTGAGGCTGGGAGAGGTGAAGTACCCCACTCAGGTCACATAATATGTAAGTGGTAAAGCTGGAATTTTAACCAACCCACTCCTTTTACCACCACACTTCCCTGCCATCTCAGACAGGAATGCTCCAATGTGCCAGATTTCATCTCTTGCCCCTACATGGGCCCCACCCCATGTGATCTTTCTTCCCTTATCTTAAATGTCTTTCTGTTCAATCACATAACTTATGTATATATACAGACATAGATATACCAATACTGCATTCATTTTATCAGTCTCCCTCTTTGGGGGGAAGAAGGGAGAATACTGAAGACCTGATGTTCCCACTTAAAAAAATAACCCTAAGAGTATGTCCTCCCTATGGATCCTGGGCCAGGGAGTCATTTCCATGGGCTGGATGTTTGATTAATTAAACATCCCTCTTAACAGAGGTTTGGACTTGTGGTGTATTCTTCTGTGCTCCTCCATGCCCCACTGGGAGACAGGCCCTTTCTGATTTGGTACTAGTTCCACTATCAACATCTTGACTGATTCATTTATTTATTCAACAAATATTTATCATGAAGCTACTGTGTGACAAGCAAAGAGCCAGGCAATAGGTATCAAATGGAGAAACCACCTGATATGGAGTCTGCAGGATAGTTAGGAAACAAACACTAAAAATATTAAAGGTCCTGGCTGGGTAGTTCAGTTGGTTAGAGTGTCCTTCCAATTTGCCAAAGTTTCGGGTTTGATCTCAGGTCAGGGCACATACAAGAATCAACCAGTGAATGCATAAATAAGTAAAACAACAAATTGATGTTTCTCTCTCTAAAATTAATTTTTAAAACTTTATTTTAAAAAGCCCTGGCTGGTTTGGATCAGCGGTTGGAGTGCCGGCCTGCGGACCAGAGAGTTCTGGGTTCGGTTCCTGCTAGGGGCACGTACCAAAAAAAGAAAAAGAAAAAAAAAACTTTATTAAAAAGTTAAAAAGTATGGTGAGTACAAGATGTGGTGGGTACTGTGGGGGAAGGGATTGAAATGCAATGAAATAATAGGAGAGACCTACTATTGATAGGGGAGTCAGGAAAGGCATCTCTGAGGAGGTGACATTTAAGCCAGGACTCAAAATATAAGAGCCAACCAGGCAAGCTCTGAGTGGGTAAGCCAGGTTTCAGGCAGAAGGAACAGCATGTACAAAGACTCTGAGGCAGCACAGAGCTAATTATGATCCAGAAGCTCAAAGGCCAGTTTGGCTAGACTTAAGAGTATGGGAACAGTGATCAGGAGTGAGGCAGTAGCCAGACCTCAAGGCCCACCTGTCAGCCAGCATTGGGTCATCTGAAACATAAAAAGACCTGAAGCACAGTTAATGGCTTCCCGGGGTGAGACCCTCAAGTCTACACTTCTTGTCAAGCTTCTTGAGAGGGCAGGATCCTCACCTATTCATTCTTGTGCTCCCAGAGCCAGGCACCCAGTGTATGCCTAATAAATACATCTGGAGTAATTGAAAGAATGAAGGTATGGAGGAGGCCAGGGGTGCTGAGAAGGGCAGGACCCTGAGCCTCTGTGAACTGGCTATGCCATCTTCGGCAAGGTCCTCACCTCCTTGGACCTCAGAAAAGATGAGTGCACTGCCTGAGATACCTTTTACTTTTCCTCCCCCATCTATTGACCACAGCTTGCAAGCCCTCTGAGCCTGCTAAGAAATCCAAAGTCCACTTTCTAGGTAGGCTAATCCTGGCTGAAAACAAGGTTTTTCACTTCCCTGCTGCTCCTGGAAAAACAAGCCAGCTGGGAAGCTTTGGGGGACAGAGAGGCGACCTTTGCTCTTACCAGCCTCACCCCAATCTGGGCTGGACAAGTCTGTGCAGGTACCTGAGTGGTGCCTGGCTGAGAATGGGGGAAGGTAGTTCCTGCCTCCCTCAGCAAGCCCCCAGTAGGCCCTTCCAGTCTCACCCTCCTTTGTCAGAAACATACCCTGCTGACCCACTGGGTACCTGCTCCTCTCCCTCTCCTGGCTCTGAACACTGGCAAAAGTGTAAAGAGAACTGTCTCACTTTCCTTATCTATAAAATAGGGCTTAGGCTCACTAGTTAGAGGCAAAGCGTTAGTGCTAGAAATGGTTCACTGAATGTGAGGCCCATCTTGAGCACCTGACTGCCAGTAATCCTCCACAGCAGTCCTGGGAGAGTGCCTGGCTCTCACCTGCAGTTCTACAAGTGAGGAAACTGAAGCTCAGAGCTAGAGTAACTTGCCCAACATCGAAGTCATTAGGTGGCAGAGTCAAGACTGGTAGCCAGGTCTGTTTGGCTTTAGAACCTGCTCACCTTCCACCATGCCCTGTTGCTGCCTGCCCTGTGCTGAGCACTTTGCCCACATTAAATTGTGCTTTGTAAAGGTGAGAGGCCATTCTTTTCTTTCTTTTTTATCCTCACCTGAGGACATTTTTGTATTTAGCTTCAGATAGAGCTGGGGGGAAGAGAGAGAAATACAGACACGAGAGAGACACACTGACTGGTTGCCACCCACACGACCCCAACTGGGGCCAGGGACAAACTGCAACCCCAGTATGTGCCCTTAGCGAGAACCGAACCAAGACTCTGGTCCACAGGCCAACGCTCTAACTGCTGAGCCAAACTGGCCAGGGCAAGGGGCCGATTCTTTTTTTTTTTTTTTTTTTATCCTCACCCGAGGACATTTTTCTATTTTTTGTTCAGGTAAAGTGGGAGGGAGAGAGAGGAACAGAGAGAGAGAGAGAAACATCGATGTGAAAGGAACACATCAAGTGGCTGCCACCCGCACAACCGACCAGGGCCGGGGACAAACTGCAACCGAGGTACGCGCCCTTAGCGGGAACCGAACCCGGGTCTCTCAGGACTGCAGGCCGACGCTCTAACCGCTGAGCCAAACCGGCCAGGGCAAGGGGCCAATTCTTAATAAAAGCAGAAATCTCCTGGCACCGGCAGGGTTTGCAAAAAAATGGTGGAGACTGAATGATCCTCACAAGGAAGAAAAGAGGCCCAAACCTTATTTCCCAAGTGGACAGCTGACTTCAGGCAGGGCTGAAGCCCCCATTGGAAGGGGACTCTGAGTTCTCTTTCTGCCAATGGGCCAAGCTCCCCACTCTAGCAGGGCTCCATTCCCTCCTGGACCTACATCAGTGCCCTAGCTTCCCCCACCCTTCACAACTCTGGGATCTTTCGGGCCCTGTCAACATGCCCCCATCCTCCTCCCACTTGCCAAAGTCAGAACCCCTGGAAGGGTTGAGGGACCCAGGAAAAGCTCCCCAGAGAGCACTGCAGGTCCCTATTCCACCCCACCCAGTGTGGGGCAGTCCCCTCCCCCTTCAATCCAATTCAGCAGGCAAGGCCCTGGGGCATTGGTGGGCTCCCCTGGAACTAGACACACCCAGAACATGCCTCAACTGACTGGATCCCTCTGCCACCATCTGGTCCCCACACTGCCACAGCCAGTGAATCTAATGTGGACAACGGATCAGATCTATTAAAACCTCTCAATGGCTTTTTAAAAATTTGTTTTTTGGTAGTGCCCCTAGCACCGAACCTGAGTCTCTCTGGTACGCAGGCCGACACTCCAACCGCTGAGCCAAACCGGCCCGGGCCCCCTCAATGGCTTTTAACCCACCACCCCCAAAGGCTGTGTCTTGCTTTCCGAGGGCACTTTTCACACTTTGAATTCATCTGTCCTTGGGATTTTTGACACATTTCCCACCCCAGCCCTGCCACAAGCCTAAACCTCTTGGGTTAGCTCTCTCGGCTATACCCGGGCCACGTCAGAGTCTAGTACAGAGTAAGGGCCCAATAAGTAGTTGCTCAACAAAAGAAACTGGGGCCCAGGAAGTGTGAGAAATCCAGGCAAGGTCATTCAGAGCAGAGATAACCGAGCCATTCCTCCTCCCGCGGCTTCTTCTCGACTCCCCTTGCCGGTCCCAGTTTCGAGCCGGCCACACCCTGCCTTCCCAATCCCGTACGGGAGACCCGGGATCCAGGAGCCGGGACCCCAGACCCCCGAGGTCAACCGGAAGCGGCGTGTGCCGGGTTGTAAACACAGCTCTCAATGCCCCACCCCAGCGCTCTCCAGTCCCGCCTCCGCCCGCCACGTGATACACACCCCCGTCCGCCCCGACCCAGCGCCCGCCCCACATGCCGCCTCATTGGGCAGCCAGCTTTGTTGACCTTATATGGCCAGGTCTTAACACCCCGCGGTCTCCCATTGGCCAAGACGCAGCCTCACTCACTTGACGTCACTCGGGATCGAAAGATGCAAATAAACTGGGGCATTCTGGGAATAGGAGTTCGGCGCCTTTCCGGGGCTGGCTCCGCGCGGTCCTGGCGCCTGCTCGTGAAAGGCGAGATTTCCGGCAAAGCGCACCAGATTTTGCGTGGTAAAGTGGGAGCGCCGCAGGGAAGGAACCCGAGGCAACAAAGACTGCTGGCCTCGCTTGCACATTCCTGGCGCCATCCCTACCTAACCGCAGAAGTTCCTCGGGCTTACTGTGTATCTGACCGAGCGCCAGGCCAGGGGGGGCCCGCTTTTCGAAATCGCGCGCTGCGCTCAGGGAGTTGGGGAAGACTCGGAGGTCTTCCTGGAGGCGGTGATTTTGAGCAGAGCCCTAGAGGGTAGATTCAATTATTCACTGAACGAATATAGGCGCCTGCTGTGTGCCAGACTTTGGGGCCTTGCAGCCTAATGCTGCCGATTTGTGCCATAATGCTAGGGCCCCTCTCCCCAAGGGTGCGCCCACTCAACACAGAGGAATGCCAACCACAGCCGTGCTCGCCAGGGTCTTGACAAAGACTCCTATGGCCTCCGCCTGCCGACTCCCGGTAGTGCCAGAGCAGGGGCGCGGGTGCCCAGCTTTCATCACAGCCCGCCTCTGTACACAGTAGGTACCTGGCCGGGGAAAGCTCGTTCCGCAGCCCCCGATGGAGCGCAGGCGGGCGCGGTGCGGACTACATCTCCCAGCATGCCCTCCGCAGCCCCGGAGCGAGGCGAGGCTCGGTGAGTCAGAGCCGCACAGTAAATATTTGTATTAGCCGGAGCCGGCTCGCTAATGGTGGACGCGTGAAGCGGAGGAGCGCGCGGCGGCGGGAGGCCGGAGCGGGCAGCGCGGCTGCGGTGGCGCCATGTCCGTGAACATGGATGAGCTTAAGCACCAGATCATGATCAACCAGTTCGTGCTGACGGCAGGCTGTGCGGCCGACCAGGCGAAGCAGCTGCTGCAGGCGGCCCACTGGCAGTTCGAGGTGCGCTGCCGGCTTGGCCAGGGATCCAGGGACCGGGGTTGGGGGCCTATCCCGTGGAGCGTGTGCTGTGTGGACACGGGCGGGTGCGCGCTCCACCGGAGCCGGACAGGGGTGGGGGGCGCTTGCTGGGCCCGGTGTCCGCCGGTCGCGCGCTCTGGCCCGGGCCTGGGCGCGCACACGCGGCGTTCGGGTCGGGCTCAGCGGCGGGCCGCGTCTAAGCGGCCCCCGGAAACGCCGCCCGCGCAGGTTGAGCGGGAGGGGTGGCCCGCCCCCGCCGGGGCCCTGGATCTCGGACCCCAAGTCCTTGGACATTGGGGATGCGGGGGCCCCCACTTTTGTTCCGGCTAAGGCCAGGGCGGGGCGGCGCCGGGGCCCGGACAGACAGTGGGGCGGGTGGCCGGAAGGAGGACGCCCCAGGCCTGGGCCGAGCTGGACACACGCTGTCCCCTTTCCATCCCCCCTCCCAGAGCCACAGGGTTGGGACTGGAGAGCTCCGGGGGCCCATGGGTGTAGTCGCCCCGCATGTGTGGGTCTGCGTGTTTGGTGGACAGCCCAGAGGCGCGTGTGCCAACGTACATGTGCATTTGTATTTACGCACGCACCGCGCTGCGTGTGGGTATGTTGGCATGTGTAAACACGCAATCCACCTGAGGCGCGGGTGCGGGGTGTGTGCTCCGTGCACTTACACGTCGCCGTGTTACAGGTAGTGCCCATGCGTGTACACCCGAGTGTACAGTGCTGTGTTCGTGCCCTCCTCTGTGCTGGCAGGGGATTCTACCTGCACAGAACAGGTGAGGTGTGCGGTTCAGTAGCATTCAGCCAGCTGGGCCGGAAATGGGGCTCCTCCAGTATGGCCCTCATCCCCCAGGCCTCCATGACCCATAGACCACTAATGCTCAGGCTTGTGCTGCCTTCCCGAACTCTGCCGCCCCAGAAATAATCCAAGGTGGTCTCTAGGGATGAGGCCAGAGCTCCTTGAGCTCCATTTCTCACAGGTGTAAGGGCCCAGCTCCAGCCAGTTGTATCTGTGCCCAGCAGGGGCCCAAGGGCCTAGTTTCCTATGGGGAGCCAGCTCAGGGAAGGTGTTTGGGCTTGCAGGAGGGACCAGGAGCCAGGGGAGCTTCCTGGGGGTTGGAGGGGATCAGAATTCCCACCCGAAGGTTGGGACAGCCTTGAGAGACAGTGGCCTATCCATCCAAAGAATCTTTGCTCACCTCCTTCCTACCAGAGATCTGATGACTTTGTGTGGCCCTCATACCAGGAGATGCTCTCTCTCTGGGTAGCTGTCTTCCTCTCTGGCCTCAGGTTTTTCCTTTGTACCTTGGGGGTGCAAGGTGACCTCTAAGGAGCAAATGCCCTCCTACCTCCCCACCCAGGACTGGCAGCCCCACCCTGCAGGAAGCTCCCTGATCAGCCCATTTGTCTCTGGGGCTGGATGTGGCAAAACTTGCAAAACCACATTCATGGCAGTTTGCTTGAGTCCCACATCTGCATACATTGCTCTCTTCCTGCCTGGGTCTGGGCAGGCAGGTGTCCAGTGGGCAGGCACTCTCAGCCCAGCCCACAGAGACTGGCAATAGCTTGGTGGTCACTCAGGCAGTACAGGTTGGTGTTGGTAGTTCACAGGAATTGAAAATGTAGTTTTGAGGATTAAAATGTCTGGGGAAAGACTCTGATCCAAGCAGGGGCAAGAGCAGCTTGCAGGTAGGACCCCTGTGGCCTGGGACCTGTGAGTCTGTTTCACCAGCTATAAAATGGGGATATGGAAATGGGTCATGAGCCCCCAAACCTTAGGTCTTAGTATGGGAATGAGTGAGACATTCCTTATGGCTTAACTCCTTCTGCCTACCACGCCCCAGCTGGCAGCCTACTGGCTGAGGGTCTGACCCAGCCAGCTGGAGGCTATCTTTTTGGGTCATATTTTCTATGATTCAGGTGTTAATAGGGACAAGAGGTGGCAGGGGGAATATTTGTCTGCTTAAAGGGTAGGACAGATGTTTCTCCCTGGAATCCTCACACTTAGTGGCCTTTGGAGCTACTGTTGGGAGAAGAATGGTTAGGGTGTGTCCCTGGGGCTCCAGGGGTGGGGCTGGGGGTCACGAGGAGGAGGTGGTTAGAGATCAGTGCCCCCCCCAGCTCCACTCCTTCCCCTAGCTCCTACACCCCTGTTTGGGGACACGGGTGGGGTGTTTCAGCAGGAAATGCCCAGAATAATTAATTTGATTTTACTTTAAGAAAATTACAAAATCCCTAGGGAAGCCCTGGGAGCCAGGTTGGGTGGGGCAGGGGAGGGGATGTGCAGCACAGGGCTGTGGGGGCCAGTCTGAGGGGATGGTGGTGGTCGGCAGAGTGGCAGGGGCTGCTTAGAGCTGGACCTGGGACTTGGCAGGGCCTGGTGGACCCTTCACACACTTGACGGGTTCCCTCACCCAGCACTTTCGCAAGAGCAGCTGGTTTCCTTATTTTCTTCGACACCCTCCTGCAGGGACTGAGCCAGGACACACCAAATGCCAGCGCCTCCCGGGGGCTTCCAGAGGCCACACTGGAGTTCCCTCACTCCAGTCCCCCAGAGCCTCCAGATGAGCTGGTCTGACCCAGGCCAGCTCTCATACCCCTTTCCTCACAGTCTTGGGTGTAAACCCCACCTCTGCCATCCTCCTGCTCTGTCACCTTGAGAACATTCTGCTGGAGACTCAGGTGAGCGGGGCAGGGAGTGCAAACCCAGACCGTGCTACTTAATTCTGGCTCTCCCAGCTAGAACATGGATCTTAGGAGATCACTGCTGCAAGGGAGGGGAATCTGAAAGCCACCTAGTTCAGTCTCTGTGATGCAGATGGAGAAACAAGGGGCAGAGTCCCTTGGTCAGCCAAGGAGAGGGACAGGTGGGTCACATAGTTGACATGTAGAAGCCTTTGCCATCCCCAGCTCAGAGATGAGGAAACAGGCTGAGCGGAGCTGGGGGCTTAACCCCCCATGGAGTTGGTGATATTGGGCTGAGGTCTCTGGGAGGCCTTTCCCTGTGAGACAGGCGAGGGTGCTGCCTGCCCTCCCAGGTCACAGTGCTGACACCAGGTATGTGCAAACTGGAGGCACTTGGTAAGCAGGTGGCAGACAGTGTCGTGAAGGTCTTCACCACCCACCATACCTGTCAGGGGGTCTGAGACGCCTCCTTGGGAGGAGGTATAAAAGTCACATGGTGACAGGCATGCTGCCTCAACTCACCTCTCCCACTCGGTAGCCAGGCTCAAGGCTGTACCAAGTCCCAGAAAGCCTGGGAAGGAGGGCAGCAGCGGGGTCAGGCAATGTGCTAAGGGTAAGCTTGGACTTTTCTTCCCACAGACAGCCCTCAGCGCTTTTTTCCAGGAGACCAACATCCCCTACAGTCACCACCACCACCAGATGGTAAGTGTCCCCTGTGGCCTCAGGGGCAGCTTTGCGGGGGTCTCCCAGTTCAAGCTGCAGTGGCTCTTGGCTGTGGAGGGGCCTCTGGTACGGGACCTTTTGAGAGCCACCAGCAGGTGTAGCAGGCCAACTCATCTCAGCACCCCACCTTTTTTCTGTGAGCCCCTAGTTGGTGGGAGGGACAGGAGCATCCAAGGGAGGGACACAAAGCCTCCCAACAGAGGCTGGGCGTGTGTCTCCAACTAGGAGCCAGTGGTAGATTGGGGGCCTCCCAAGAAGAGTGCTTACCCCTCCCTCTCTGCTCTCCCCACAGATGTGCACTCCCGCCAACACCCCTGCAACGCCCCCCAACTTCCCTGATGCCCTCACCATGTTCTCCCGTCTCAAGGCTTCTGAGAGCTTCCATGGTGGCAGCAGTGGCAGCCCAATGGCTGCCACAGCCACGTCGCCCCCGCCGCACTTGCCCCACGCGGCCACCGGCAGCTTTGCAGCACCCAACTGGCCAATGGTGGCTTCACCCCCAGGGGGGCCACAGTACCACCAGCCACAGCAGCCACCCCTGTGGACTCCGGCACCCCCTTCCCCGGCATCAGACTGGCCACCCCTGGCCCCCCAACAGGCCACCTCAGAACCAAGGGCCCACCCTGCCATGGAGGCCGAGAGATAAGAGAGGCCCCTCCCCCCTCCCGGAGGCCAGGACCCCGTGGGGCGGGGGAGAAGACATCTCTGCTGGCCCCCTCTACCCTCTTCTGTCTGCACCCCCATTCCCCAAAGCCCTGGAGGGGAGAGACTGGACCCCTGTGCCAGCAGCACACAGGCTGCCCACAAGTATACAGAAGTGCAGGCACACGGCACCCAGCTTGCATGGATTTGGTTCAGAGTCATCTGGGTGCTGGTGGACAGAACTTCAGAGACCAAGCAGCCTTCCCTAGAAGACTCACCCCACCTCCAGAGGCTGCGGAGACTTGCCTGGCTCCTGCCTGGGAGCTCCTTGAGGCCAGCAGGCCTAGATCCCCACCCTCGGGAATGCAGAGCCTTCTCCGCATGTGTGCGTGTGGCAGTGTCTGTGTATTTATACGTACGTCACTCTTCAAGAAGCAACCTAGTTTATGGGGCAGCTGGACTTTGCATGTTAGAGTGAGCCCCTTGCCCGCCACCCCCTTCCCCAGGGCCCTCTCCTCTCCCCACCCCCTCAGCAGCCAGCCTTGCTGTTCCCTGCAGAGAAAAGAATTGTGGGAAACTCCAGGACTCTTCCCACCCATCCCCCAGCGCCTGCCTGCTGGGACTGCCTGCATGCCTTGCCCAGAGCCCGGGGGTACCCCATACCCATTTCCTTTCCCCCTTTTAAGAAAGGAGAAGAAAGAGTTCCAAACCACCACCAGGCTCTGTGGTCTTGCCTCTTATCCTAAGCTTTGCTGCCAGCTGGCTCTGTGGGGAGGGAGGGCACAGACTGAGCCCAGAACAGAGGGCTACCCTCAGCCCCGCCTGGCCTCACACTGCTCCTGTGTGTTGCTGTCTTTTCAACCACAACATGCTCTGGAATCTTCCTGCCTACCCAAGGCTTTTCCCATAAAATTAGTTTCTGGGCCTGTATTCCCAGAATCCCAGCCTCTGTCGGCCCACCCTACCCCCTTGCTGGCTAGAGGGACCCCGACCTCCATGGCTAACAACTGCCTTCCGGTCTGCCTGAGTTTCACATAAGGACCTTTCTTCCTGTCTCAGGGCCCCCAGTGGCTGGCTGAGGGCTGGACCCCCAAGCCCAACCTCCAGCGAATGTGCTGGGTGGGGCAGGGCCCTCCCCTGGGGAGGCACAGGCCACAGTGCCTGTAGCAGGCTTGAATGCAGAGCCTTTGGGGGCTATTGATGGACAGGACCAGGCTGAGGCAGAGTCCAACCAGTGCTCAATCCATTGGTCACTAAGGGGATGGGCTGCTTCCGAACTGGGCTAGGGCAAATACCTGCTGTAGCCCCAAGGAAAAAGCCAGATGCCCCACAGGGGAGAGGGTCCCTGGGGCCTCCTACAGTTCCTCACCAACATACCTCACTCCCTAATCGGGGCGAACCTGCCCGGTGCCCAGCCCTGCCTCAGCACCTCAGCCCTGTGTGGATTGCGCCTAGGTTGGAGAGCTGCTTGTTTCGGAAGGCCTGCCTGACACGTCTCGGCAATCACCACCAACAGTGCTCTTGCTCCCAGGCTGTGCTTTCCGACAAGGATGCCACTGCCCAGCTTTGTCTCCGCCCTGCTGGAACCTGGACAGGCTCTTGATGAAGCCCACCTAGGATGGCTGTTTACTCTCTGGTTGTCACTGAAGACCGACCTGTGGGCCCCCACTTGAGCTGTTGCTTACATCCCAGAAGTGTGTCCTCACCTTGAAACCCACTTTCCAACAGCCTCTTGGAGTCCAGAGAGGACACGGCTCTGCCTAGGGAGCAGCTTCTCCATTTTTTTGGATAGAAGACAATTCTCAGGAAACTGGCACACCCCCTCTTCAAGTGGTAGGAAAGTGCTTTGCAGAGGCAAGCATTTTTGGGTTATCAGCTGTGTGGGGTGAGCATGCCTGGGCTCTCCCAGTGAGCTGATTACTGGGGTGGCTGTATGCTTTGGAACCACGGGAGACAGTGCACTGTCTAGAATTTGCTGTTCTGGAGACAAAGGGAGCTTGACTGCCCCGCCCCCAGGCAGGCTCTGTGTGGTCTGTATGTGTACACCCTTACTGCTCAAGTGGGTCCTCAGACCAGCAGCATCACCTGGGGCTTGTTAGAGATGGAACCTCAGGCTCCAGTTTGAGAAATGTTCCTGGTAAGTGCTTGTCTGTTGGAGGTGAGGCCCATTTCTTTTTTTTTTGAATCCTCACCCGAGGACACTTTTCCATTTATTTTCAGATAGAGTGGGAAGGGGAAGGAGAGAGAAAGAGAGAAACATCGATGTGAGAGAGGCACATTGAGTGGTTGCCTCCCGCATAACCCCAACCAGGGTCAGGACCGAACTGCAACCAAGGTACGTGCCCTTGACCAGAATCGAACCCACGACTCTTTGGTCTGTGGTCTGATGCTCCAACTGCTGAGCCAGATTGGCTAGGGTGGTGAGTGTCATTTCTGTTTCTGGGGGCCGTGTGTGCAGGGCCTGGAGGTCCCAGGGGTCATATAGGCTGGAAGAGCTTGAGGTTCCTATAGATACAGTTTTGCCAACCCGGGCACTGTGGACATTGGTGCTGGATCACTGTCTACCATGGGGGCATCCTGTGCACTGTAGGATGTTGGCCAGCACCCCAGCTCCTACCTATAAGATGGCCAGTAGCACCCCCAGTTGTAACTACCAAAATGTCTATAGACATGGCAAAATGTCCCCTGGGGGCAAAATCGTCCCCCCTTCCCCATGGAGAGCCCCTGCTCAAGACTGGTCCTGTGGCTGGCTGCACAGCAAATCCTAGAGGCTCTGAAAAGACAAGCACCCCAGATCCCTGGGCCCACAGTGTCAGCATCTCTTGTGGAGGGGGGGCCCTGACAGCGTAGTTTTTATAAAACACTCCCAGTATGTTGGTGATTGACTTGTGAACAAATTAAAAACCAATTGCATTCTTTAAAAGGGTGAACATTGTAGCATGTTAATTCTGTCAACGCTGTCATTAAAGGTAAAATAGCTCCCAAGAGCTTCTGACCCCAGCACATGCCTTTCCTTCTCAGCCCCTAAACCTACGAAGCATAAGGGTCCCCTGGCTACCTGAGGCATCTGTTCCTGGAGGAGGGCCCGGTGGCGTGATTTTTAATAAGTGCCCAGGCAAGGTGGGACTCAGAGCAGGCACAAGCAGAGGGCAAGGCTGGAGCTGGACCTGGGGACTCAAATACTTTCCAAGTAATGCAGAGAGAGGCCCCCTGCCAGGTGTGCCTGGAGCCCTGTCTGAGCATCTCAAGGCAAGGGAATGGCTGCAGCAGTGAGCTGGCCAAACTCCAGGGGAGCCAGAGGTGATCCTATGCAGATGCCACAAGCCTTCAAACTTTGTGACATGGAGAATCAGGGACCTTCCTTAACTTCCCCAAGCCTGGAAACTCAGGAGTAAAACTGAGGTGTCAATAACCATCTACTGCATATTCAAGTGTAAACTGGCTAAAAGCGAAGGTGCTGGTGTTCAAGTGGAACAGGTATGTACAGCCAGGTTCAGCTGAATCTCACGACTCTCAGGCACCTCCTGGGAAAACCAGCTTTTTTTTTTTTTCATCCTTACCCGAGAACATTTTTTGATATTTTGTTCAGAGTGGGAGGGAGGGAGGGGAAGAGAGAGAGAGAGAGAGAGAAACATCGACGTGAAAGGGACACATCGAGTGGCTGCCACCTGCACGACCAACCAGGGCCGGGGACAAACTGCAACCGAGGTACGTGCTCTTAGCGGAAACCGAACCCGGGTCTCTCTGGACCACAGGCCGACGCTCTCACCGCTGAGCCAAACCGGCCAGGGCGAAAACCAGCCTTTTACCTCAAAGTCCAGCCTCTTTGGGATTTGGTCACCTCCTACATGACCACCAGAATTGAGCTCCAAATGACTATATTTACAAAATTCCACTCTTTTTCTATTTTTTATTTTTTTATTTTTATTTTTTTCATCCTCACCCGAGGACATTTTTCCATTTTTTGTTCAGATAGAGTGGGAGAGAGAAACATAGTTGTGAAAGGGACACATCAAGGGGTTGCCACCCGTACGACCCAATCAGGGCCAGGGACAAACTGCAACTGAGGTACGTGCCCTTAGCGGGAACCAAACCCAGGTCTCTCTGGACCACAGGCCGACACTCTAACCTCTGAGCCAAACCGGCCAGGGCACAAAATTCCACTCTTAACAAACACCGTTTGCATCCATGAAGTTGCTTAAAAGCATGCAATTTGAGCTCTTCATGTCTCATTTTGGAAGAGGGGACGTGGGAGTACGTGCGAATGAAGACCGGCCTCCCGAGCGGCTGAGCCCCCTGGTCTGCTGGTAAAAGATGGAGGCATGGTTGTCCTAGGGGGTTGCAGATTCAGTCCCCTGGTGTGCTGTTTGGCTTGCATGCTGTTTTGTTTTTATTGCCAACATTTTCGAATCAGGAGAGTACATGAAAAGCCTCACTTCTGGCTTATCTTGGAAATTTGTAATGCCCGAGTTCCCTCAAGGCCACAGCTGGCTGAAGCCGACCATCACAGTGGGGACCCAGCCAGCCAGCCCCCTCCACTGGCCACCAGGATGTGTGTGTGTCCAACTCCTGGCTTGGAATCAGCTGCAATCTCTGAAAGGGATCTTGCTTCCCCAGGAGGAGCTTTGGACACAGAGCCCTGCTCCGACGGGTGGAGAGGCACTCGGCCGATGAGTGGTGACTTGAAAGTGTTTTCTGTGGGCAGGCAGGGCTCCTCCACACAGCTTTGAAGAGAAGGGCTTGTTCCCCTGCAATAGTCTCTGGACAACAGGGACACTCCCAGGGCTCTGGAGGGCCCCTAGGGTCTTTCTAGGGTTCTCTGAGAACACGTTGTACCCCTGAAGAAAACCATGTTGTTCCTGAGGCTGACCCCAAACCTGGGGGTGGGGCCCCTGTGGCCCTGAAGGTCTCTGAGGGGCTTTTATTAGCAGGACTCATCTGAGGACAGACTGGCTCTGACTGGTTACTGCCCAGTGTCAGCGTTGGGGAGGCTTCCTGGGTTGGGCCAAAAGGAGATATTTTGAGGCAAAGCTATTCCTAATTCCTGCATTTGGAAAGGTCTCTAGTTGCTTAGGCACAGCTTATAATGGGGCAATATATGGGAGTTATTTTGCAATTTTTATTTATTCTTGTTATAGATGTTTCTCCCTTTTCCCCCATTGACACCCTCCTCCCAATATATGAATTTCAACTGAGCCTTAAAAGAACACCACTCTTAGGGTGTGGGGTCCTAGGTCCTCCAGGGGAGCGTGAGGGAGGGCCTGCTTCCAGGGTGGCTGAGGCCTTGTTGGCACAGCACCAGGTACTGGGGGCCTGTTGGCAGAGTCCTCTGCTTTCCGGGGCCGTTTCTCATATAGGGAGTCACAGCTGCAAACTGGTGGGGACATTCTCTATGGGTCCTGGTGAAGCCCCGAGCAGGAGAGAGGAGGGAGGAGAGCCCTTCGGCGGTTGTGCAGCGGTTTGGAGGGTCTGCCTAGAGACCCTAAGTCCATACAAAGTCAGGTGTCAAACCAGCCAAGATGGTATTGACAAGGAGACCAGTGTGAACTGATTTCGGAGTCCTGGCACAGAAGGCTGCCTCAGCTGCCACCACCTGGGAGCCTGCCTTTGGGTGCTGGTGGTGCCTTTTCCCAACGCAGATCAATGTTTGGGACACACGTTTTCTGTCTTCAGTTATTTATACCTTAGGGTTAATGAGTTCATGGTCATTGGAAGGGAGAAAATGTTCAGTGACCCTTTGACTTGCATCAGTGAGTTGTGGGAGTGGGTTTGGGGGTACAGGGTGGTCACAACACTGCATCTCCATTCCAGTAGTATCTCAAGGCAGGGCCCTCCCCTTCCTGCCCAGCTCATTCATGCAGCCCCATATACCCCGCCAGCCCACATTACTTCCTCCTCATATGACCAATTTATCTGTCTTAAAACTGTAAGTTCCAGGGACCACCCTCATTCCCAGGCAGACTTGGACAGTTGGGTCACCTTATTCCCTGTCCAGCCTGGCCCTGCTGCTGTGTCCCAGGCTAGGAGCTGTGGTCCCCTTTGCAGAGGAGGCGGCTGGACCTAGGTCTTTCCAAATTCCCCACTCTGACCCCCTCCCTTGTTTTGTCCACTCCCCATGTGCCTTCTCCTGATGAGGTGGGGTGGGCCACCCTCCTGGGGCAGCTGCCCTGGGAGCGGGCACAGCATCTCCCAGGTTCCAAGGCCTTCGGGTCCCACCCTCGGGCTGGGATCAGGGAGGGGGTGTTCTGCCACTGTCCTTGGCAAGGGTTCTGCCTGCAGCTCCACCTGGAACCAGGCCAGAGGCCAGCTTCCCCACCCCCTGGGGGCTAGGATCATTGCCCCTGAGATGCTCCTGGTGGGCGGCTGTGGACTGCAGTTCCCCACCTTCCAGAGCATTGGTCTGTCAGATGCAAACAATTGCAGTGGCCTACGTGGGCCTCACCCCTCACTCCAGCGGCAGGAACCAACTAGGGTGCTGCCTGCTGAAAACCAGGGTCAGTTTTCAGCTGGGAGGGCAGCTTTTTTTTTTTTTTTTTTTTCATCTTCAGATAGAGCAAGAAGGAGAGAGGGAGGAAGAGAGAGAAACATTGATGTGAGAGAGACACATCGAGTGGCTGCCACCCGCACGACCAACCAGGGCCGGAGACAAACTGCAACCAAGGTACGTGCCCTCAGCAGGAACCAAACCCAGGTCTCTCTGAACCACAGGCTGACGCTCTAACCGCTGAGCAAAACAGGCCAGGGTTGGGAGGGCAGTTTTTTGTTTGTTTGTTTGTTTGTTTTTTTATCCTCACCCAAGGACATTTTTCCATTTTTTTGTTCAGACAGAGCGGGAGGGAGAGAGAGGAAGAGAGAGAGAGAAACATCAACGTGAAAGGGACACATCGAGTGGCTGCCACCCGCACGACCAACCAGGGCCGGGGACAAACTGCAACCGAGGTACATGCCCTTAGCGGGAACCGAACCCGGATCTCTCAGGACCGCAGGCCGGCGCTCTAACCGCTGAACCAAACCGGCCAGGGCGGGAGGGCAGTTTTGAAGGGCCGAGTGGGGATTGATATGAGGGGCAGAGTGCCATGCCTAGGTGCCTGTGGTAGCCTCATGTCGGGGCTTCAGGGGACAGGCTGGCATAGGGTGCTTCCCAGGAACCCCCAGCTTCCTGTTTGCCGGAGCCCAGACCATACCTCCCTTTCCTGCCTCGGAGAAGCCCAGGCCTTCATGCCTGTGTACAGCCCCCAAGAAGTATGGCCTCGGGGGTTGGGGGGCGCTGGAGAGCTAAGGCTTCACTGTGTGACCCTGGGCAGTCACACCAATATCCCTGCCCGCAGACCCCTGATCTGCCCACCACATGGGCCTGGAGCAGCTCGGGCCCTTGCCACGGTGGGAGGTATGACGGAGGAGGGATGGTTGGTTGTAGTTCTCTGCTGGGGTCAGCCAAAGTGGTTCTGGGCAGTGGCTCCGGGAGGCTGACCCTGGGGTGGTGGCCCAAGGAGGGACCAGAGGACACTGGGCCAGTCACCCTCATCCAGAGTCAGAAAGTAAAAGATGAAAGATTTTATTATGGGGAAGAGTTACCAAAAATAGTCATCTGTGCGATGGGGATGGGGATGGAGGCTGGGGCTGCGGCGCCAGCGCCCGGCCAAGCGGCACAGTCCTGGGGCAGGAAGCTTGGCCACACTGGGACACAGTCCTTGGAGAGAGAAAACAGAAGGGCTGGGAGTGGTCCCCAGTAAGGAGCAGGGGGAGGGCTGGGGGGCCATTAGGAAGAGGCAGTCACACAGTGTCCCTGGATGCCAATGGCCAGCAGGTCTAGGGGTCCTCTGTGCCAGCTCCCCAGCAGAGCCTTGTGCCCCCAGTCAGACCCCTCCACCCCGAACAGCTCACCCCCACCTCACTCCCTGACTCACTCCATCCCAGGGGCCTCTACTGGGTGTTGGGGGTGGGGATGATGCCCTGATACTGCACAGAAGGAAAACTTTGTAGTCTGTGAAATGTGATAGAAGTGTCAGAAGTACACAAAGGACAGAGAACACAACTGGACAAACTAGGGTGTGGGAAGGGAGAGGGACTGAACCGGAGAGGGAGAAGGAAGGGACAGAGAAGCCGTCCAAGGGGAAGAAATCAAGCCAGGCACGCACTGTGCAGCCGACAGGTGTGCGCTCTGCTCTGCGGCCCAGGGAGGGCCCCTCACTGCCAGGGTGGGATGTTCGGGCCTCCCGTCTGCTCTCTTCCCTCCAGGTGTGCGGGCCATCAGCGGGAACCAGGCTCCTCTCCCAGCCCGCAGGACCCCAGCCCTGGAGGGGACACCGCAGTCCTGGAGTATTCCAGAGGCATCGCTCCAAGTTCCTCAGGGATTAGCCAGAAGTAAATATAAATACTCTCTTTAAACATTTGCTTCATAACAGTAACTACTGGTGGAAATAACACAACTTTTAAAAAATGCACGCAGTAACATTTGGTTCCCACGAGAAAATTGATCCTGGTAGAAATAATCACCCCCAAAGAAAATGGGCAATGGCAGAAGCTGGAACTGGAACTGATCCTGATGAAATCATTTTAGCAAAATAAAAAGGAAAGTGTTTTTAAACCACTTTAACTGTGTTTATTGAAAACTGGTCAGGAGTTAAATTGGCATAGTGGACAATTCGATCCAGAAAGCGGTGTTCCTCATGTAACATGGGGCAAGAAGGACTGTGTTGTGTGTATTTCTACGCAGAGTGAAAACAGCCACTGGGTCACAATGAGTCCCTTATGGAGATCCCTCCCCTACGTTCAGGCCCCTGCGCCTTCCCCAGGCCAGGCTCAGGGGTTGGTCTTGGCCGGTGGTGGGAGTGGAAGGGACACGGCACAGGGCTCACGGGAGGTGTGGCTTCTAGGTGGGCTGCGTGCTGGCTTGGGACTCGGAGCGCTGAGGCCTTGGATGCCTGGTGGACCCTGAGGCCTGCTGGGGGTCCTGCAGCGATGGCATCAGCGGTGGCAGAGGTGGCAGAGAGGGAGGCCGGGCCAGTGTCCCTGAGTGGGGGCCCGAAGTCGCTGAGCGGATGCTGGCATGGGGGCGCAGGGCTGGGAGAGGCAAGAGAGACTGATTTGTCCTAAGAACATTCTGCATGGAGGCTGGCCGGAATGAGCAGAGGAGAAGCCCCAAGATGGAAGTGCTTCACCGAGGCTCACCCAGTCTCAGGCACCCTAAACTTCTTTGGGGGGCCCAAGATAAAGCACACCAGAAGTGGACACCAAAGTGGAGCAGAGCACCCCAAGGAGTCCCACCTCTGGCCTGCCTCAGCCCAAGGTCACTTTGCTTCAGCTCCCGTACCTTTCAAATGGGCTAGCAGTCCCCACCTGCCCCAGCTGGAATAAGGGCAGGTGGGTTAGCAGTCCCCACCTGCCCCAGCTGGGATAAGGGCAGGTGGGCTAGCAGTCCCCACCTGCCCCAGCTGGGATAAGGGCAGGTGGGCTAGCAGTCCCCACCTGCCCCAGCTGGGATAAGGACAGGTGGGCTAGCAGTCCCCACCTGCCCCAGCTGGGATAAGGGCAGGTGGGCTAGCAGTCCCCACCTGCCCCAGCTGGGATAAGGGCAGGTGGGCTAGCAGTCCCCACCTGCCCCAGCTGGGATAAGGGCAGGTGAGATAAGGGAGAGAGCGCTTTGGACACTGGAAAGTGCCCACAAATGCCTGATACAAGGCAATTCGAATCAGGGGGGCTCAGTTCCCCAAGCCTGGCTCACGGGGTCCCAGCAGAGAGGCCCAGGAAAATGAATAGGCTCCCTTATCCCAGCTCTGCAGCTGACTGGACGCTGGGAAGACACCCGGCCCGAGTGCCCAGGCCAAGCAGCCTAGCTGAAGGGAAGAAGGAGCCCAGAATGGCTGGAGGCCTGGCCAGGGAGCTGGATCCTGGGTGGGGCCACTCCAGGGGCCTTCTCGGGCTCTGGCACAGACAGAGCACATGAGAGATGTACAAGGCGGGACAACCCCAACCTGGGACTGAGGAACCTGACCAGAATCTGAGTTGGGGGGCAGGTACTCACGGGGGTAGATGGTGCCAAAGCGCTCACACAGGTTTCGATTCGGGGGACGTGGAAACTTCACGGCTTAGTGGGAGAGAGGGGAAGAGACAGGAATGGTGGCAGCTCTTCCAGAGTTCAGCCCTTCCCTGGGGCCCCCATCCTGCCCTCCAGCTCCTGCAAAGGCCCTTTCGCTCTGATGGGACTGACGTTTTTCAGGCCACCCCCGACCCTCCCCATTTGTGTACGGAAGGACCTTCTCCCCTCCCTGCCTTCTCGAGCTTCTTAAAGCTGACATCAGAAAAAGGCTCTTGGAAAGTAACTCAAGGCCGGGGAGGAGACTTCCCACCCCACTACGGCAGACTGTCCGATTGCCCCCACCCCCACCTTCCCATTCTTCATCTTGTGTGTGTGTGTATTTTTCAGTAAAATTCACATAACATAAAATTAACCATTTCAAGGGAACAATCCAATAGCATTAAGTTCATTCACATAGTTATGCAACCATCACCTCCATCTAGTTCCAGAACAGTGCCCCAGAGGAAAGCCCACACCCACGAGGCAGTCACCCCCCATTCTCCCGTCCCCAGCCCCGAGCCACCGTGGCTCTGCCTTGTGCTGCTGTGACCCGCCAGCGCTGGACGTTTCACAGAACGGGGATCGCACAACATGCGGTCTTTGGGGTTTGCCTCCATCCTCCACTTTTGAACCCAAGGTGTCCCCTTCTCCCTGTCCAGCCAAGAACCACCACGACTGTCCATCCAGAATCCAGACCAAAGGCCACTGCAGGAGAAGAGGTGGGAATGTGCAGGAAAAGAGGCCATGAGAGCGAAGATGGAGGGAGGAGGAAGAAAGGGGAGGTCCCGTAGGCGGCCAACTGGGCACAGGGGTCCAGAGGAGAGGGCCAAGGCTGGTGCCCCGCAGGAGTTACAGGGGCACCAAGCTCCTTCCTCTGTGGGACACCCATGGCTCCTTCTGCCTGAACAGCAGTGTCCTGACAACTTCTGCCTCAAATGTCCCTTCTCAGACAACCTGTTAGACACCCACTCAACAAGGACCTCTCCCTGGTCATTCTTTCCCCCATGTCTGTGTTCCATCTTATTTTCTCACTGACTTACTCATTTACAGTACACCACCCCTCATGGAGCAATAAGTCTAAGGGAGCAGTAGCTTTATCTTGATTACACTGGGTTTCCCCAGCAGTTTCTAAAATACCCCTGACACCAGCAAGGGCTCGGGAATGACCAGGGCCAGGTGGCAGCAGGAGGTGCCACATAGATCTCCCTTTAAAAAAAAAAAAGAGCCCTGGCCAGTGGTTAGAGCCTTGGCCCGCGGACCAGAGAGACCTGGGTTCGGTTCCCGCTAGGTGCACGTACCTCGGTTGCAGTTTGTCCCCGGCCCTGGTTGGTGTGGGTGGCAACCACTTGATGTGTCTCTCTCACATTGATATTTCTCTCTCTCTTCCTCTGTCTCTCCCTCATGCTCTATCTGAAGATAAATGCAAAAAATGTCCTCAGGCCCTGGCTGGTTTGGCTCAGTGGTTGGAGCATCGGCCTGTGGTCCAGAGAGACCCGGGTTCGGTTCCTGCTGAGTGCACGTGCCTCAGTTGCAGTGTGTCCCCTGCCCTGGTTGGGTCATGTGGGTGGCAACCATTCGATGTGTCCCTTTCACATCGATGTTTCTCTCTTTCTCTCCCCCTCCCACTCTGAACAAAATATTGAAGAATGTCCTCAGGTGAGGATTAAAAAAAGAAACAACTCGGGCAACACCCAACCAACTGAGCCACACCACAAGGTTACCAGTTCAATTCCCAGTCAGTGCACATGCAGGCTTGGCTGCCAGAAGGGGGCGTGCAGGAGGCAGCAAATCCATGTTTCACTCTCACGTGGATGTTTCTCTTTTTCCCTCTCCCTTCTTCTCTCTCTAAAAAGCTATTTAAAATCTTATAATAAGAGCCCAGCCAGTGTGGCTCAGTGGTTGAGTGTTGACCCATGCACCAAGAGGTCGCCAGTTCAATTCCCGGTCAGGGCACATGCCCAGGTTGTGGGCCCCATCCCCAGTGGGGGGCATGCAGGAAGTGGCCAGTCAATGTTCTCTTTCATCGATGTTTCTTTCTTTCTCTCTCTCTCTCTCTCTAAAATCAATAAGGAAAAAAAAATTTTAAAAATCTTATAAAAGAAAGAAAGAGACAGAGAGGAGGGGAGGGAGGGAGAGAGGGAAAAAATTTGGTGTTCAGCTGCAGAAAGCACAGGGAACAAACACCTGCTAGTACCTCAGGATCTGTTAGAACTTCGGGGGGTCTGTTAGCACCTCAGGGTCTGTTATCCCTTCCAGGTCTGTTAGCACTTCTAACCAATGACAGGAGAACAGGGCCTGGCCATTTGCTGGGCAGTGTTTTCTCAGAAGCTCCCCACCGGGCTGGCCTGGACCTTATCAGGACTAGTCACTGAGGGTCTCTTCCTGCTCCCTGCCTTTCCTTCCTCCTCTCTGTTAGTGCCCTTCCCTTCCAAACCTCTTGCATTCCTAACTGTTGCAGGGTCTACAATCTCGAGGACCCAACTGGCACCACCTTGATTCCCCATGAGCCTCTGGGATCCAGAGTTTGGGTCATGTCCCTCAAACCCGAGTTAAGAACCACCATCCGTGTGCTTTATGTGTCCTGCACAAGAGCAAATGCCTGGCTGAGGGGTGCTCCCTGGCCCCCACTCATCCCCAGTTGTTCCCTGTATCCCTTGAGTCAGAGGTGGACCTGCCAACCAGCCGACCAGTAAGACTGTCGAATCGCTTCCTTTCAAGGTAAGGGATGTGGGCCCAGGGTACAGGTTAGAAATGGAGACACAGCGAGCCCTGGGAACCCAGCTGCTGACCCAGAATGCTCCTTGATGTCCCCCGCAGCCTTGGACTCTATATGTCCAAACCCGAACTCACTACCTGACCCCAACATCTGCTCCTGCTGGGCTCTCCTCTGAGCTTTCCCACGTCTGCACCAACCAGGAGACTCCCAACGGCAGGGACACCTGACCCTGGCAAATAGGAGGTTCTCCAGGGGTTCCAGGCTGAGCACACAGTGTGGGCAGAGGCCCAAAGGTGAGAAATAGCTTGGCTTCTTGAGAGAGAGCGAGTGAACAGTCCCATTAGGCTGGATGGAGGGGACAGATAAGGCCAGTGGGTCAAGGGGCCCTGGAGGTCAGCCAAGGAGTCTGGAGTCTGAGGGCAATGCCCTCCTAGATGTCCTAACCCTGGAATTTGGGAATATGCCCCCTAATATGGCAAAGGGGACTTTATAGATGTGATCCAATTAAGAACTTTTGAGACAAGGAGGTGGCCCCAGATTATTCAGGTGGACCCAGTGTAATCACGAGGTCCTAATGGGGGAAGCTGGAGGGTCAGCGGCAGGGAAGGAGACGTGAGAATGGAGGAGAAGTCGAGTAATGCCCTTTGAAGAGGGAAGAAGGCGTCACACCACAAGCCAAGGACTGCAGGAGGCCTCTGGAAGGTGGAACCAGCAAGGAAACATTCTGCCCCAGAACCTCAGGAGGAACCAGCCTTGCTGACAGCTCAGTTTTAGCCCAAAGACTCGTTTTGGATTTCTGGCCTCAAGAACTAAGACAAAATAAGTTTGGGTTGTTTTAAGCCACTCAGCACAGGTTCTTCGCTACAATAGCCCCTCTGAACTGAGTAGGGGGTGGCGGCCTGGCCAAGTTCACTCAGAGCTGGTGGGGAAGGTGGAGCCTGAAGAGAAGTCTCCTACTGCCTCAGTTCTACCTTCTGCCTCTCTGCCCTGCCACCGCCTCCCACCTCAGTCCTACCCGTACTGAGCCTTCCATGGAGATTCTCTGCAAGTGCAGCTGCTCTCAGCCTCAGCATGCCTACCCGCCCTCCTGCTGGGGGCATTGCTCACGGGGGTCCGGTGTTCCTCTGCCCCAAGATCCTGACCACAGTGCAGGCATCTGGAGACCCCAGGCTGGCTGGACACCACTCGACGACCCCCATGGAGCTGGCAAAGGGCTGAATGCACAGCAGGATACGGTGGGAACGGTGGGATGAACGGATGAAGGCATCTGGGACCAGGCTGGACCTGGCGCGGCTCACACCAGCTAATTTAGATTTAGATAGTGATGGTTTTGGATTAGGATGTTCTTTGAGTATGTGAGTGTGTGCTGAAAGCATACTGGTCAAAAGATCTGGCCACAGGTAGGCTTCTAATTGATTTTTAATGCTAGATTTTGTTGCCCCCAAGCAGGATAAAGCAGTCGAAGTGTCATGACTCAGTCCTGCTTTGCTGCTTATGGGTGTTGGGAATGAATGAGCCATGGGGAGAAATGCTTTTTCCTCTGGAGGGAGAGGGGTACTGTCCAGTGAATGAGGGGGACGAGGGCCAGGTGTGTGAGGTTATCCTGGCCCCTCCACCAAGTGTGCCCTTACCTGCTCATTTGTGCAATGCCTCCCTGGGTTGTTGCAGGGCCTGTCAAGACGTCAGACTCGCCCTGGCCGGTTTGGCTCAGCGGTTAGAGCGTCGACCCGTGGACCAGAGAGTCCGGGGTTCGGTTCCCGCTAAGGGCACGTACCTTGGTTGCAGTTTGTCCCCGGCCCTGGTTGGGGTCATGTGGGTGGTAACCAGACAATGTGTCTCTCTCACACTGATGTTTCTCTCTCTCTCTCTCCCCCTCCTGCTCTATCTGAAGATAAATGCAAAAAAATCCTCAGGTGAGGATAAAAAAGAAAAAGAAGTCAGACTCATTAAATATTAGTCACCATTGTTATTATCCTGCCTGGTGATCCCTGAAGTCCAGCCTGAGTCCCCTCCCAACAGCATCCACTGTCAGGCCCCTGGAAAAGAGCCATTAATGCTGCAGGCCACATCCTTGCTACAGGGCAGATGTAGGATTTAAGATGATGTCCTGCCTCCTGGACCAGGGGGAGAGCCTGTAGTAGGTTGGATGGTGGCCCCCAAAACACATGTGCCCTGGAACCTGTGTATGTAACCTTATTTGGAGAAAAGGTCTTTACAGATGTAATTAAGTGAAGGATCTTGAGACGAGAGCATCCTGGGTTAAGTTAGGCCTTAATGCCAATGATGCGTGTCCTTAAAAGAAACAGACGAGAATACACAAGGAGGCCATGCAAAGACAGAAGCAGAGACTGGAGTGATGCGGCCACAAGCCCAGCAAGAGAAAGCACCCCTTTTGGTTGCTGGCTCGAAACTGCAGCTGAGTGGTGGGGTCCCCAGTAGAAGCCAACTGAAGCCAAGGGCTCGACACTGCAGCACCCAGACTACTGATTCTACACGTGTGATAGATTCTCCCCACCCAATCCTAGCCTGTTTTGACATTAGGACACAGTTCTCCAGGGTCTGCCCTCATGTCCTCTTCATCACGTCTAACCACACCCCAATCTCTGCAGTTCAGGTGGACTCACCTTTCTGAGTGCCTGATTGTATCTGCCTTCCCCAGGGCCTTTGCACCTGCTATTCCTGCCACCTGGACTTCTCTTCTCCCACCTGACCCTTTCATCCAGAAAAACCTTAGTCCCTCTTCAGAGGCCTCAGGGCAGTATCCAGTCCCTCTCCTTGGACCAGCATCCCTTGTCACAACTCTCCCATCACCAGCCCAGCATCCCATCTTTGGGTGGGCCACCAACACCCCTCCCCAGGCCTGCATACTTTGCCACAAATTGTCCCAGCACCAAGGCCTTCCCTTCAGGTTCCCTGTTCATCCTCACCTTTGGTTACCTGTTTGAGGTCTACTTCTCCTTCTCATGTGGATATTCCAGGGCACAACCATCTTTTTTGCTCCCCTGTGTCTCCCTGGCACCTAGTGTAATGCCTGGCAGTGGCATTTTTGCAAGTGGTTGTGTGAGGACCCCCCCAGTCAGGACTGGCGTCAGCTCTGGGCCCTGCCTGCATCCGCTCATGCTGGCCAGCAAAGCCAGGACACTAGGCAAGGGTGCCCAGAAGGCCTGACGCCCCTCACCAGCCAGGTCCTTCTCCACGCTGGTCAGTGGCCGTGCCCCTTCCTGGCTCTTCATTCTGCCTTTGTACAGGATCCCGTCCACTCCCAGGATGTCCACCTCAGCCTGTGGGAGGGCCCGGGCCCCAGGTAAGGCAGTGTCCTTGAGCCTCTAGTATACAAAGAGGCCCAGCAGACAGAGCACGGCTCCCCCAGGGTCACCCACACCCGGGCTGCAGCCTGACTCACAGTATCATAGTCCAACACCTCGGGGTCCCCATAGGGGTAGAGTGTTGACAAGTTACATGACTTGAGCTTGAGGTTGGCATTCCCAGGGTCGTTGCTCCAGTCCTCCTGGCCTCCAAGGTCCTCGAGCTGCTGCAGCTGCTGTTCCCTGGGGCAGGACAGGAGGGTCAGCAGCAGTACCTGGAGATCCTTCAGCTCGAGGAGCCTAAGGACAGGCCCTGAGGGCCTGACCAATAGCAAGGGAAGACTAGAATTCCTTCCAGCTGATTTTGGGTGGTGTAGCAAAGTGGGCCTGGGGCCCGGTGGGTGGATACAGATGGGCACAGTGAGGACAGAGAAAAAATTGAGGCCTACGTTCCCCAGACCCCAGCCACCCCTGGAGGCCTGACCTGGCCTGCCAAGTTCATGCTCTTAGCCTCTTGAACCCCAGAAGGAATCAGGCAAGGGAAATGAGGGCACGTGGCTGTGGTTACTGTTCAGCTGTTATTCCCCCACCTGGGGGATGGGAAGCACCATGAAGCCTCCGGATGTCCAGAGGGTGAGGGATGGAGCTGGGACCCAGGGAGCCAGCTGGGTCTAGTGGAAACCAGGTTTGGGTGCCAGCTCTGCCACTCACTGTGACCTTGGGCAGGTTGCTTAAGTTCTCTGGGCCTCAATTTCTTCAACTGTGAAATAGGATGATAATAGAATACACCTCAAAGAGCAAGTGTAAGACTTTAATAAGGTCAGGTAAGTCAAAGTGCTTAGCACAGTGTCTGCCCAGCCATAGCAAGCCTTGGTGTCATTATTTACATCCTGGCTGTCATTATTATTATTATCATTGTTAATCCTTACCCAAGGATATTTTTCCATTGATTTTCAGATAGGGAGGGAGGGAGAGAGAAACATCGATGTGAGAGACACACATTGACTGGTTGCCTCCCGCACGACCCCGACCAGGGTTTGGGATCAAACCTGCAACCAAGGTACGTGCCCTTGATGAGGAATCGAACCCGAGACTCTTTGGCCCGTGGGCTGGCGCTCTAACCACTGAGCAACTGGCCAGGGCCTAGCTGTCATTACTTAATCCTCCAGTGGGCATATTAATTCTGGCTCATAAGGGATTATGAGATTTAAATGAGAAGCCCTTCCCTAACGATTCTCGGCTCATAATAGATGCCCAATAAATATGTCCATTTCTTTCCTCTGTGATCAGCTCACGTGCCTGTCTGCTGCCCTAGCTACCTTCCCGAATGTTTCCTTTGCAGATGACTGGCAATGCCCTGGGATAGTCTTTGGATCCTGGGACTACAGTTGAGGTCTCTGTGGGGCTCCTGCGTCCAGAGTCACCTCTGTGGGGCAGACCCCCACTCTGCTCACCTCATCTGTTGCCGCTGCAGGTACTCGTAACTGTTGGCACTGGATGGCCGAAGCCGCGACAGCAGGTGGGTTTTGCGGATGGTGATGAGATGTCTGTTGGAGAACAAGAGCTCAGTGGAAGGCACAGGTGGCCAGCAGAGGGCACTGGGCTCCCAAACACTTGGCCTGAACAGAGGCCGCCCTGGGGAACCCTGGATAATCTTTCTAAGTCATAAAGAAACAATTGTTCCAATTTAAAAGTAAAAACCAGACACAGACTGGAGGTGGCCAGAGCCTGGGGGGACGGAGAGTGGGAGTGAGAGTTAATGGGTAGGAGCGTCCTTCTGGGGCAATGGAAATGCTCTGGAACTAGAGGTGGTGGTTGCATGATATTGTCAACGTTCAAAGTGCCCCTGAACTGTTGGCTCTAAAATGGTTCATTTATGTTGTGTGTATTCTACCTCAATAACAATAAAAAGAAAGTAAAACAGCAGCCTTCTCAGGAGCTAGAACTGTTCTACATCTTGACCTGAGCAGTGTATACACGTGTAAAAACCAAGCATGTTGTAAACACGTACTCTAGAGTATGTATTTAAGCCACAATAAAAATGTAAAGTAACATACATTGATTGTCAGCATTCTAGAAACCATAGGAAAGCACAAGCAAACAAAACAGTACTGTACCATGTGACAAAAATGTTTATGTGTGTCCTTCCAGTATTTTTCCATGTTTATATACTTTCTAAACAAAAAATAGGACCATAACACACCTACTACTTGATTTTCTCAGTTAAGTTATCAACATTGTTCCAAGGCATTAATATTCTTCCACGACTGTGCTATCCAATATGGCAGCCACTGGCCATGTGGCTATTTAAATTTACACTTACGTTAACTAAATTTAAAAAAAATTTCAAATTCAATTTCTCGGTCATATTAGCCATATTTCAAGTGCTCAACAGCCACACGTGGCCAGTGGCTACTGCACTGGACTTCGCAGCTGTAGGTCATGTCCGCATTGCAGAAGTTTCTATTGTATGGTTTCTCCTACCACATAGTCTGCATTGGCTGATAGGAATGTATTGTAACTCATTTACCAGGTCGGGTTATTTCCTTTATCCTTTCTTTTTTTTTTTTTTTTTTTTTTAACTATTATAATAATATTGCAACTAGATATCCTTATTGATTTTTTTAGAGAGAAAGGAAGGGAGAGGGAGAGATAGAAAAATCAATGAGAGAGAACATCGATTGGCTGCCTCCTGCATGCCCCCCACTGGGGATCCCGGCCCACAACCTGGGCACATGCCCTGACCGGGTATTGAACTGGCGACCTCTTGGTGCATGGGTCGAGGCTCAACCACTGAGCCACACCAGCCGGGTGCAACTAGATATCTGTTGCTTGAAAGAAACATTCTGGATCTAGCTCCAAAGCCCCTCCATGAACATGGCTGGCATGGGTGCTGGTGGGTCACCAGGGCCAGACGAGCACTACAGAGGCTGGGCGCACTGCAAGATCCTGGCTCCCAGACCATATTAGAGGGGGTTTGGTGGCTCCTCAAAAAGTTAACCATAGAGCCACCATATGACCCAGCACTTCCACTCCCACATTTACATCCAAAAGAATTGGAAACAGGTGTTCAAACAAGTATACGTACACACATGTTCATAACAGCCCTCTTCATGGAGGCTAAAAGGTGGAAACCGCCCAGCGTCCAGCATTGTATAAATGGATCGACAATACGTGGTCTGTCCACACAATGGGATATTATTCAACCACAAAGAGGAATGAAGTCCTGACATATGCTACAACATGGGTGAACCTCAAAAACATTTTGCTCAGTGGAAGAAGCCAAACACAAGAGACAATGTATCGTTTGATTCCATTTCTATGAAATGTCCAGAACAGGCAAATCCATACACAGAAGTAGATTCAAAGTTGGCAGGGGCTGAGGGGAGGGAGCAATAGGAGCAACTGCTTAATAGGTCTGGGGTTTCCTTTCGGGGCAATAAAAATATTTTGGAATTAAAGGTGGCAGTTGCACATTCCAGTAAATGAACTAAATGCCACTGAATCATTCACTTTAAAATGACTAATCTTATGTGATGTGAATTTCACCTAAGTAAATAAAGTATTAGACCATAAAAAGACATGCAAGAAATTGCCACAAAGTTCTGCTTTTCCTTACAGTTTCCTTCCATGATTTTTCTTTTGGAGTTGACCCAGTCCCTGGGACAGTCTCTGGAAACCAGATAGGGCTGATGAAGGAAGGAAGGGATGAAGGTGGCCCCCCAGGTACAGGAGGCAAATAAAATGACATCTACAGAACGTGTATGTGGATGTGCATATAAAGGATGTTTCTAGAACCCCACAGGCACATAGGGTATGTGTGTGTGTCTCTCCCTGTATTTGTCCAGAAGAGAGAGGGTGGGTGCAGGCGCCACTGGTGGCAGTACTCACGGGCCAGTCATCATCTCCACCTGCCGGTCACAGGAAATGCACTTCACCCGCTCAAACAGTTTCCTGGAAGACACCGGTTCCTCAGCTGTGGCACCCAGGCAGCCCGCAGGGCCAGGGCTTCTCCCTGCATCCTACACCCACTGGCCTGGCCCAGCTCAGCTCACTCCCTGGCCCCGGCTGAGCCCCATTTGCGGCCTACTGGGTGGAGGTGGGGAAATACAACTGTGTGCAGTGTATCTCCCTGCCCTAAACATAATGCAGGTCTTTAAAATCAGGGACCTTCTGGAAAGCTAACCTTCGTTCACAGTAGACACTGGGGCACGAGGGGTGATCTGAGGACGAAGCCCCTCAGAGATCTGTCTGGGGAGTGCTGTCTGGATGGCTGTCTGGATGGCGGGAGGGCATTTAGCTCTGTTCCCAGATCCATCCAGGCCCCACTGGCATGTCTCCTTCCCTCTCTGAACTTCCTCATTTGTGACAAAAGGGTTTGGGAGCAGATGTGCTCCCGGAGCCCCTTTGCCAGCCAAGGGCAGAGCTGCCCACCTCTGAGTGCCTGGCTGATCTCAGCCTCACCCAACCCTTTTGCACACCCAACTGGGAAGCTCCGACCCCCCTCTCCTCGTGTCCACAGGTTTGAAATTCTTGCTCCCAGAATCCTCTGGGATCCCCTCTAGTTTCCTCCCTGGAGAGAGGGTCCCCCAGTCTCCACAAGCTCCACCCCTACCCAGGAGAAGCTCACTTCCTAAAGCCAGCGGCACTGTCGGGGTCGAATCGGAGGCCTTCAATTAGCAGCTTCCTGACTATATGCCAGACCTCATTCACGTCTTTCTTTATATCATCCAAATCTGTGTGGACCAGCTGGAACAACCAAAAGGAAGAAAAGAGTGTTTAGTCAGTGAATTCACACCCTGTCTCACTGCAATAACCTGCAAAGTTACACTGAATGTAACGAGGTTAAACAGAAAAAGCAAGGTGGTTAAGCAAAGGGAACTGACAAAGCTTGGGTTAAGGTTTGCTAATGCTTGAGAGGAGCTGCCAAGTGAACGTCCCAGCAGCCAAGGCAAAGAAACACCATCAGTTACTGCCTCCAAATGATAAAACCAACTCTATGCTCAACTACAGGCCTGCAGGCCCTGGAAACATTTCTCCCAATGGTCCCCACACAACTGACATTCACACATTCAAGACACATTTACTGAGCAAAGTATACATTCAGTAGCTTTTAATATAGTCACAGAGTTGTGCAATCGTCACCACAATCAATTTTAGAACATTTTCATCACTCCCAAAAAAAACCTCATACCCATTAGCAGTCACCCTTCATTTACCCCCAGGTCCCCAGGGATAGGCAAACACTAAACTACTTTCTGTCTCTATAGATTTGCCTATTCTGAACATTTCACATAAATGGAATCGCACAATCTGTAACCTTTTTTATCTGGTTTCTTTCACTGAGCACAATGTTTTCAAGGTCTAGCAGGTTGTAGCATGTGTCAGTACTTCATTTCTTTTTATGGCTGAATAATATTTGACTTTATGGCTACACTATATTTTGTTTATCCATTCATCTGTTGATGGACATTTGGGTTGTTTCCTTCCACTTTTTAGCGATTATGAATAATTCTGCGATGAACATTCTTGTACAAGTTTTTACATAGACACAAGTTTCATTTCTCTTGGGTATATACCTAGGAATGGAAATGCTGAGTGGTATGGTAATTCTATATCTAACTTTTAAAAAATCATGTGAATGACAAAATAGTCACTTAATTCATTGAATGAATTGAATATACAAAAATCTATTATTCATGGTAACACTCACAAAAAAGAAATAAAAAAAGAATAAAAACCCTCATTTGTCACCATGTTTTGGATGTGGCTATTTCTTTTTTTTTTAATTTTTATTTATTGATTTCATTGGTTTGAGAGAGAGAGAAACATTGATTTGTTGTTCTGCTTAGTTATGCATTCGTTGGTTGTTTCTTGCATGTGCCTTGACCGGGGATCGAACCTGCAACTTTGGCGTATTGGGACGACACTCTAACCAAGCAGGGCAGGGCGAGTGGACATGGCTATTTCTATCAGTTTCTTACACTGAAAACTAATCATTAAAGGAAATAATTTATCACTGTTTCTATCTTTCCTGAGAGAACTGTATTTCAGGGTAATTAGCTCAAGCTGACAAAGGACAGCTCTTCACAGATTTCTAGTTGATAATGTAGAAGCTTCATCTGTCTTGCTCTTTGGGTCACTGGTTCTGAGGGAAGTCAGCTGCAATGTTGTGAGGTCACTTGAGCAGCCCTAAAGAGGAGTTCGTGCAACAAGGAAGTGAGGAGTCTTGCCCCCAGCCATGTGAGGGCACCATCTTGGAAGTGGCTTCTCCAGCCCCAGTCAAACCCTCAGATGACTGCAACCTCATGGGAGACCCTGAGCCACCCAGCTAAGCCACTCCCAAATTCTTGACCTTCAGAAACTAAACGTTTGTTGGTTTAAGCTGCTAAATTCCAGGGTAATTTCCTACGCAGCAAATGACAATACAGGGACACTCACCTTGGTGCCCAGGTCCTTGCTGAGCTGCTCCACAGCCTTCCTCCAATCATTCTCATGCGACACGACCCTGAGTAGCACGCCCTGAATCATCTCGTTCAGCTCCTCTGCCACCGTCTCCAGGTCAACCCGGCTTGCCTTGCCTGCCAGGTTGCTCTTGTCAGCTTTCTAGAGAGAAAAGGGATTCAGAGAGGCAGAGCTGTTGTGGTGGGAGCAAGGGGAAGCTGGGAGAGATCAGATCACTGTGGTCAACTTTTTCAAGTTTGAAACCCTGGACATCTAGCCTTGGCCTAATTCAGACCTGGGGTCGATGCTGGCTCAAAGACAACCGCCAATCTGAGCCAAGGTTTCCTACGACAGAGAAGTTGGCACATGAGTTTTAAGTTCACATAACAAATTGCCACTAACCCTGAGGCACTGAAAATAGGAGTTGATGGAACAACTTTCGAGAAGCTTCCCCAGCCTTTCCAAATAAACAGACGTGGAGAGAGACTTTGGAGTCTCTCTACCAGGTTTTGTCTTGGCAGGAGGATTCCGTTTCCCTGGGTGGGAGAGCCAAGGCTCAGGATGGGGGGCAGGAGCAGGAGAGGAATCTGCTCACTCACCTCTTTCAACTCCTGCTCCATCACACTTTTGTCTGCCTTGTGTGCTTCTAGGTTTTTAATTTGAGCCTGGAGAATCTAAGATCAAAAGCAAAGGGCATGTTAGCCATCCTTGGAAGCATTGAGGATAATATCCACCTTTCACCTCCACCTTTGCTGTATGCTAGGAAGGGACAATGAGGCCAGGTGGACAGCAGGCAGGGTGGTCACAGGGTGCCCAGATAAGAAGGAAAGACAGGTGGGGCTTGGGAAAAGTACCCCATTGTCAAAGGAAAACCCTTGTTTCCCATCCCCGTGACTCCACAAGGAACCATCTCCTCCATTACTTCTGCCCTCTCTCCACTTACTGAATGCTCCCTATGAGGCAGCAGCAGCTAACCTGGTTGGGAAGAGCCTCACACCCACTGGGCCATGTCCCCAGAAGGTGAGGTCACTTTTCCTCCACGATGGAAAACAGGCTTCTACGTCTCCCTTCATAAATGGCCTTCCTCTCACCCTTAGCAACAGAACCTCCAACTTTTAGCTGGCATCCGACCTCCCAGAATCATGACTACATTTCACAGCCTCCCTTATAATTTGGTGTGATCACTGGGGTAAAAATGGAAGTGGGTAGGTGTCTTCTACGCTGCTGGCTTAAATGCAGAGTTCATGTCTAGAGCACCAGCAGCCACCTTGGAGCTTCAAGCGACCGTGTGAATGGAAGTCGCACCATGGAATTCTAGACCAGCTCTAGACCAATCCTTTCTGACTTTGTTGTTTTTCTGAGTAACCTTGTTTCAGTCAGTTATTTGGGGGTTTAAGTTATTTGCAGTTGAACCTAATTCTAATTAATGCAAAGCTCTATCACATTCACTTGCAAAGGGCAAGTAATGTTTCCCATAGAGTCAGAAAGAAAGAGTTCTGTTCCCACTTACTTTCCTGTTGTATTCTTAGTGTGACACACTCCAAGAGACAAACTCTAAGGTGATGGATATGTTTCCATCTTGATTGGGTCGTGGTGACATGGGTGTGTAAATAGGCAAAAATTAATCCACCTCTTATACTTATACTGTGCATAAATTATACTTTGATTAAAAACACAAATACCACCCTGGCCAATTTGGCTCAGTGGTTAGAGTGTCGGCCTGTGGACCGAAGAGTTGCGGGTTTGATTCTGGCCAAGGGCATGTACCTTGGTTGCAGTTTGATCCCTGGCCCTGGTTGGAGTCATGCGGGAGGCAATCAGTTGATGTGTTGCTCTTACATTGATGTTTCTTTCTTTCTCTCCCTCTCTCCCTCCCACTCTATCTTAAAAAAATCAATGGAAAAATATCCTTGGGTGAGGATTAAAAAACAAACACACACCCACAAATACCATTGCTTACTCCCAAACACCGAAGAGCCTAGATGGTGTTTGCCACGTCTGTTGTATGTTGGGCCCTAGAAGGGTGCCTGCTACAGCGTGAAGGCTCAGTAACATTGGATGAATGACTCAATGAATGAATAAGAGGATTAAAAAAAATGTTTTTATTGATTTTTTTAGAAAGACAAGGAGAGAGATAGAAACATTGATGTGAGGAAGAAACATTGATCGACTGCCTCCTGCATGCCCCCTACTAGGGATCAAGCCTGCAACCCGAGCACATACCCTGACTGGGAATTAAACCAGGACCTCTCAGTCCATGGGATGCTGCTTAATCCACTGAGCCACACCGGCTGGGCAAATAAGAGGACATTTTGCATCTCCTGCTCATAACATTTTCTTGCAGACTTCCAGGTAAAGCAGTAATACCTATTCCAGATGTGTCTGCATATCCTCAGTTCTCTGCTAGAAGGGCTCAGCAGGGGCTGCTGATCTGTTGTAAATGTTCACTTAAGACATGTTTAATGAAACATGTTGTATACAAAGCCCTGTTCTTCCAGGGTTAACTTTTAGAAGCAATTAATTCTTTCTTGTTGACACAAAAGACAGGAAGGAAGTCAAGACAAAGGCTGCCTTGCTTCATTTAGTTGGGCCTCATCCTCTCAAGTTTCTCTTGAGTGATGACTACTTGGAGACAGATACTGTGACCCTTTCTCCCCCCATGCAGGGTAGGGCACATTGCTGGGTATACAGCAGACATGTTGAATGAATTGGCTTATCTCCATTGAGGAAGGACACCAGTATACCCCTAGGATGTGGCAACCTGGTCTCTTGGAAGCAATGACAAAAAGAGGGCCCAGAGTTGTCAGGAGATGATGTTGTTCCTGATCTTGGTATTCATAATGTCTGATCCTATTACCGTAGTCTCCTCCATCCACACACAGTCCAGGCTCTCCCTCCCACCTGCACTCAGGCTGGGAACTGGCTCTTCGTGCATGAGTTCTTGTTCTGTCTGAGTTGCCCTGTGTGGGTCCTCCCCCTTTTGCCCCTTGCGTCCTAACACATCCCACCAACAGCCACCTGACTAGTAATTAGAAACCCCCACGGAAACCACTTCACTTGATTCTATTTGGAATTTCTTTTCTTTATACCCTAAGAATAACCTTGATCCCTTCTCCAAATGTCTAGAACATGTCACAGACTGGACTGGTCCTGAGGTCCAGCTTGGCAAGTCAGAACCTGCCAGGTTCATGGAGAAGGTGTCTGGTGGAGTGAACCCCTGGGAAGGGTTCTGTATCGTCTCACTTCTCATGTCGCAACTCTGCTGTTCTGGAAGGCCTTTCAGCGCTGATGGGTCAGAAATGAGGGGGTGTAGGGGAAAAGTTATGAATGTGATTGTTGGTGCAAGAAATCCTCTGATTCATTCGATTCTTTCAGCACATTTGGAGTCTCCACCCTGCGCCAGGCACCCGTTAGGAGTGGGTGATGCAGTGGTCAACAAGACAGACACTGTCTGGGGGGCAGGATTTGTTTGTTTCTAATTAGAGTATAATTTATGCACAAGAAAATACCAGTAAAATGTTCACCGGTTCCCCTGCCTTCAATGCACCTGTGAAACCTTGGAGAGGGGTCTCAATATCCCAATGAAGAATCATCCCCTCAGCTGCCTGTCTTGGGACCACCCAGACCTCCAAACCTTTATTTTTTTATTGTTGTTTTTTTTTTGAGAGAGAGGGAGAAAGAGACAGAAACATTGAAGTAAGAAGGAAACATCAATTGGCTGCCTCCTGCACACCCCCTTCTGGGGAATCGAGCCTGTAACCAGGCACGTGCCCTGACCAGGAAGCCAGCCGGGACCTCTCAGTCCATGGGATGATCCACTGAGCCATACCGGCCGGGCATGACCTCCGAACCTTTAAATCATCCAGGCGAATATGGATCTTTTCCACTGCCCTGTCCAGCACGATGTAATGATCCTTCATCGTCGCTACTTGGTGGCCCCAAATTCTCTGGAGCTCCTCCTCCTAAAAGGGGAAGACACAGATATCCAAGCCTTCTGCGTCTGAGGTCACCATGGGTGAGATGGGGCTTAAAGAGTGAACCATACCAATGTGTCTCCAACCTGCCATCTCCCCCCACCCCACCTGCCATCTTAACCACCACCTAGGACACTTACCCACACACTGGGAACCCTGCACCCGCTGGAGCAGTACGTGGGGCTGCAGGTGCCTTCTCAGACCCTTGCTGCCCCAGGCCCTTTCAGCTACAGGACAAATGCTCCACCTGGTCTGGGTCACAGACTCTGGTGTCAGCTTGCCTCACACCATCTTCTTAAAAGCTCTTTCTGCCCAGGACACTGACCTGCATCCTGGATTTCTGGAGCTTGCCAATCTTTTCTTGCAGTTTGTCTACTGTTACCCCAAGCTTGGAAGAGGATCCCATATGAGCTGAAAGCAAAGGAGGGGTGACTGTTGGGGGCAGAGATGAAGGAAGATGTTTTGTTTAGATCTCCACCTGCTTCTGTTATGAGATATCTGAGGCGGTGCTGTCCAGTGGAGAGAGATACTGTCCTGTGAGGTTGGGGGCCTTTGAGGTCGCTTAAATGTTTTTAGTAGTCACATTAAAAAAATCTAAAAAGCCCTGGCCGGTTTGGCTCAGCGGTTAGAGCTTCGGCCCACGGACCTGAGAGTCCCGGGTTCGGTTCCCGCTAAGGGCATGTACCTTGGTTGCAGTTTGTCCCAGGCCCCAGTTGGGGTCGTATGGATGGCAACCACTCGATGTGTCTCTTTCACACCGATGTTTCTCTCTCTCTTCCTCCCTCTCTATCTGAAGATAAATGCAAAAATGTCCTCGGTGAGAATAAAAAATAAAAAAAAATCTAAAAAGACGCAGGTGACATTAATTTTAATAAAATATTTTATTTAACCTAATATATCTAAAATAGTATCATTTAAATATGTAATCAAAATATTATTAATGAGCCCTGGCCGGTTTGGCTCAGCGGTTAGAGCATCAGCCCATGGACCAGAGAGTCCCGGGTTCAGTTCCTGCTAAGGCCTCGTACCTCGGTTGCAGTTTGTGCCTAGCCCTGGTTAGGGTAGTGCGGGTGGCAACCAGTCGATGTGTCTCTCTCACGCTGATGTTTTTCGCTCTCTCTTCCTCCCTCTCTCCCTCCCACTCTGAGAATAAATGCAAAAATGTCCTCAGGTGAGGATTTTTTTTGTGTGTTTTTTTTTTTTTTTTTTTAATCCTCATCCGAGGATATTTTTCCATTTTTTGTACAGATAGAGTGGGAGGGAGGGAGAGGAAGGGAGAGACAGACAGAAACATCGACGTGAAGGGACACATCGAGTGGCTGCCACCCGCACGACCAACCAGGGCCGGGGACAAACTGCAACCGAAGTACGTGCCCTTAGCGGGAACCGAACCCGGGTCTCTCCGGACCGCAGGCCGACGCTCTAACCGCTGAGCCAAACTGGCCAGGGCTCAGGTGAGGATTTTTAAAAAAATTATTAATGAGATAGTTTGTATTCTTGTTTCTGTACTAAGCCTTCAATGTCCACTATGCACTTCCCACTTAGAGCACATGTGAATTTGAACTCACCCCATTTCAAGTGCTCTACAGCTATGAGAGTCTCTAGTTGATCATATTAGACAGAATAGGCCCAGGGAAAACTCTCCAGAATTTACTCCCCTCCCCAAAATGACCTTGAGCAAAACTATGAAGTACCTTATTTATAAGTATGTTATTCATCACAAAATAAAAAGGAAGCTTTAACAAAAGAGGAGAGAGGTAAGAAAAAAAAAAAAAGTACGCTATATTCAGTTCCAGATGAGAGGCCAAGAACTAATGTACAGTACTGAACTAGGAATGCATGGAAAGTCGCAGCTGAAATATGTTTAGAACCTAACTATAGTTTTCTTAACAAAAATAACAGCTGGTCAGAGGTAGAATTTGGGCCATTTTGGCTTTACATTTTAAATTTAAATTCATCACTACCAGAATTTTAGCCATGCCCCAGTGTTCACTGATATCAGTGTGGTTCTTTGTAACTATGTGAAGTTCTACATTTTCTTTTCAACATTTGTGGAATAGCACTGCCCATCAGGAATGGTACTGCGCATGGGTTGAACTTCGGTTAATTCAACTATTGTACTTGGCAGAGAACAAAACAGCAAGATAATGATTTAAAGAGGGTAGAACCCTGGCCCATTTGGCTCAGTGGTTAGAGCGTCAGCCCATGGAGCAAAGAGTCACAGGTTTGATTCCTAGTCAAGGGCACGTATCTGGGTTGCAGGTGTGATCCCTGGCTCCATTCAGCATTGTGCAGAGGCAACCAACTGATGTGTCTCTCTCACATCAATGTTTCTCTCTCTCCCTCCCTCCCCTCCACTGTAAATATCAATGGAAAAAATATCCTTGGGTGAGGATTAAAATAGTAAGAAGAATAAGAATAAGAATAAGAATAAGAATAAGAATAAGAATAAGAATAAGAATAAGAATAAGAATAAGAATAAGAATAAGAATAAAGAGGGCAATGGCTCTCAGAGTGGATTCCCAGGCCAGCAGCATCAGCAGCATTTCCCCAGGAAGGGTTAGAAATGCACATTCGTTGTCCCCACCCCCACCCCCTTATTTATTATATATAGAGAGGAAGTGACAGGGAGAGAGAGATAGAAACATCGATGAGAGAGAACATCAACTGGCCGCTGCTTGCATCCCCCCACTGGGGACTGGGCCCACAACCTGGGCATGTGCCCTGACCGGGAATCGAACCAGTGACCTCTTGGTGCATGGGTCGATGTTCAACTACTGAGCCACACCAGCTGGACAGAAATGCACATTCTTATGCCCCAACCCATTCACTTGAGTCAGAAACTCTGGGGAGTGGGCCCCACAGCCTGTGCATCACCAAGCCCCCCTGGGGGTGCTGAGGTGAGCTCAAGGTTGTGAACTGCTAGAGTGGGCCACTGTGCCCCTTCATATGCCTCAGTGACCATATGCCCACTGTGGGTACGAAATGGGAGCATAAATCTACTGGTCCTACTACACCTCGAATGTTACTGAGATCTTTAAGGATCCGTATGTGTGCCAGGTAGTTGTTCCTAATCCCAAATGGACTGCTTCATCTGGGGGCTGTTCAGTGCTGTTGGACACTCTTCAGAATCTGGATTTATCAAAACATAGTACAGTAGTACAGTTTCTTATGGGCTGTTGAAGGGAGGTTTTCAAGAGTAATTCTGACATGCAATTTTCCTCTTGAAGCACCAACTGTAGGCTCTCCCTGCCCCTCTCTCCTAAGATAAGCCCTCACTGTACATGCATTGTAAAGAATAGACTAGACTAGTAAGAGGTTAATGCTTACACAAAAATAACGAATGGCGAATGGGTGAATGTAGATTTTGTTGGGACAGTTAAACAAAGGAGAGGAGGTACTTCTCGAAGTCCATGAAGTCCAAGAGCCCTTACCACGGTTCCCAGAGCCAGTCTAGGCCTACCTAGATAACTCATGCGCTGTTGCAGATTGGTTGACAGCTGGACAAACTCTTCTTTCAGGGAGTCGTGTCTAATGGGTATCTGGGCTATGTGGCCCATGGAATACTTGACGGCCTTCTTCTTGTCTTCAGGGGTCACAGCCTGTTTGGCAGCCAGCATGGCCTGGGACTGGACAGTGTCAGGAGGGATGAGGGTATACGGAGAAGAGAACAAGTCCTCGTAGTCCACCTCCGACAAGTCGTCCACCTCGTCCACCTCGGCCTCAGTGGTGGAGGAAAAGGAGGCTCTGGCCCCACGAGAAGACCCAGCACCCAAAGTGTCTGCAAAGACCCCTAAGGGCCCAGCTGCAGCCAAGGTCGATGCCACAGTAGCCAGTTTAGTGGCAGGGGCGTCCTTAACGGCCAAGGCTGCGGTCTCGGCTGCCTGGGCCGCTGAGGTGGCAGCAGCTGCGTAGGCGGCGGCGGCAGCAGCTGCAATGGCAGCAGTGGTTTTGATCCTCTGAAGGGCAGACCGGGGACCCTTAGGTGGTACTTCCTTTGGGGCCTCAGCCCTGAGGGGTCTATCCCGAGAGACTTTCTTGTAACGTAAATAATCTTCTGCCTGTTCTGAGACAGTTGGGAGCGGGTACATATCTTTCTGCTGAGAATGTGGCTGCAGTGCACGAGGCCAAGCCGAGCCGAATTCTGTGGCCGGCGGTGGGGCCCTGAAGGTCTGGGTGTGAGTGGACACGAAGCGTGATGGGTCTAAGCCAGGCTGGGAGTAACCTAAGCCGAAGAAAGGCCAAGCGCCAGGTACAGGAAAGCCTCTGAAAGGAGGCCAGATTCCTGGCAGCCCAGGCCAGAATTGTGGTGGTATGAACTGAGGGCCTGTGGCAGGCCCAGGCCCAGCAGCAGGCCCAGGTCCGGCAGCAGGCCCAGGCCCGGAGGAAGGTCCAGGTCCAGCGGCAGGCCCAGGTCCGGGGGCAGGTCCAGGTCCGGGGACAGGCCCAAGTCTGGGGGCAGACCCAGATCTGAACACAGGCCAAGGTGCTAGTGTGAATCCAGGTGTCAGACTGGGCCCCGGTGTAGGCCCAAGTGCAGTCATGGTCTCAGGCTCCGGCCCCGGCACAGAATCAGGCCCAGGTCCAGGTGCAGGACCAGGCTTGGGTTCTGGCTCAGGCTTGAGCACCTGAAGCTGACCCAAATCCTGGGCCCCTGTGAGTGGAACTGGCTCAGCAAACTCCTCCTCCTGTAGTTCCCTCGGGGCCTCATAACGCCAAACAGTCTCCAGAAACCTGGGGAGCTGGATGGCCTCTGAGACCTGGCTTTGACCAACACTTTCATATATATTGGTGGTCTGGGGACGTTCGGTCTCTGGGAACTGCTCTGCAACCTTCCACAGATCAGAATCGTCCAGCTGTTGTGAAGCAGCAGCTCCCTGTGGGAAAGTTCCCTGTGGAAAAGAGAGCCAGGCTGGCCAGGGTTGCACCAGTGCAGCTCAGAGGTCACCCTTCCTGCTCCCTCACACCTACTTCCCCCTCCTCTATCCTCCACTTACCGGAGTGAACAAGGCCTCATGGAGGCCACTCCAAAGTACCATGTCCTCAGTTTTGGGGAAAGTACGAATCTTGTTCTGGAGAATAGTCTGGGAGGTAAAGGACGGAGTTGAGAATGAGGGACGCGAACCTGGAGGGTGTGATACCCTTGGTTGGCTCCCTCGTCTACAATGCCCTCCACACTTCCAAATGAATGGGCCTTTTCAGATTGTGTTCCCCTTCTTACCCCTCCCTGTCCCCAGGAGGTCAGGGGGCCAGGAAGGGATGATAAGGCTGAGGCCCTCACCATGTCCCGTTGCAGCGCATTCATCTTCCGGGTCTGTCCTTTCATATCATCAAAGAAAGTGTCTACTTTTTCCTGGCGTATCTGTCAAATGAGCCAAACCCATGGGTCAGGAGTGTACGTTCTGGTCCCAGCCCTGCTTCTCCCACTGCTCAACTACAAGAGCATAGCACTAGATGACTAAGCACTGGAGAAGGAAGAAAAAGTGTTTCCCAGGGAGTGAAAAGGGGTAGAAAAGGGTTCCCTGGGCAAATAAGTTTGGGAAATGTTGGGCTTAAAAAGCATTCAATGGGTTTTTTGTGTTGCAGGACTTCTCAGAGCCTTTAATGGGCAAAAGTACATTAAGAATCTCCAAGGGGTGGGCTGAGGAGGCATTGTTTCTCTCTTTTTTTTTTTGGTACATGCCCCTAGGAAACCAAACCAGGGACTCTCAGGTCCGCAGGCCTATGCTCCAACCGTTGAGCCAAACTGGCCAGGGCTTTTTGTTTTTTGGCATTGTTTCTCAAATAGATTTGTCCAAGGGGCCCTTTAGTATTTTATGACAGTTTCCCAACAATGCTCTTTCTACTCAGATGGCATCTACCTAGCCCAAGACTGAAGTTCTCACAGTTGCCATGACAATAAAATGCATACACTGACCTGTGCATTGGGGATGATAACTAAATCATGCTATTTTGAGGCAAGTTGTAAAACCTCAGCCACAATACCAGTCTAGGGGTATGGAGACCTGGCTTCTGAGCCCAGCTCTGACTCCCCAGCTACAAACTGACACTTTAGAAATTCTGTCCTTCCACTTCATGGTAAAGAGTTAGAACATCCTGGATTGATGTCATTGTGGCCACAGAGGGAGCTAGTATGTAAGCCTATACTATGTTTATTCTACTTCTCAGTGTAAACAGAGCTTTCTAGAAGAAGAGGTGTTTTCTTTCTCCTAAAATGATGGAATGTAAGCCTGGAGTAGCCAAGACTTAGGGAGTACCTACCTACATGAATATGAAGCCAACCCAGAGGAAAATCATCACTCAGACAGAGGTATTGATATGGTATGAATACCTAGATCTAGCTGTACCTGAAGGCATTCCTGGACATTTTAGTGAATGAGGCAATAAATTATCTGATTTTACCAATCCAGAATGAACTAAGTTTCTGTCACAATGGTGTCCTAACACAGCAGGGTGAAGAGAATAGCATGGTGGAAGCCATGGAGAGTTCAGTGGGATGGGCCATGTGGCTGGGCCACGTCAGTCCACATCTCCTGACCACATGGCTATGTCCTTTGACTAAGAATGGGCTTTCTATATTTATTCTGTCACCCAGTCACCAGTGGTCTGAGCAGTATGGCTAGCTTGGAGGATGTTGGGGAGGGTCTACCTTTTCAAACATGTCCTTCAGCATGTCCACATCCTTCCTGAGGGTTTCAATGGTGACCTTGACTGCATAAATGTCTGTGAGCAAATCCTGCAGGGTGTTCATGGACTGAAGAGGGAGAGAGGAGAAAAAAAACACAAAGTTAGATGTGGCTTGGGGAGAAGGCAAGTAAAGTGAGGAAGCTCTCTGATGACTGCCGTGGTCCAAGAAGTCCTCTTGGCTTTCCGAAGGCCTAGGCTGGAACATATTAAGAGGCCAGCAAATAAAAGTTAAGTCAACAGTGCTCTGAGCTCTCAAATAGCCTAGGTGGGAAAGAGACAACCCTTTGTTTGAATGTATTCAGTAACCAGGAGTCACTCATTATGAAGCATCTCAAGCCCTTTGGTGGGAGCCACCAGAAATCAGCAAAGGAGTTATGATTAGATCTACATATTTTTTTAAACCCTCACCCAAGGATATATTTTTTAACTGATTTTAGGGAGAGAGAGAGAGAGAAATATCGATTTAAGAGAAACATCAATTTGTTGCCTCCCATATGCACCCAACTGGGGATCAAACCTGCAAACCAGGCATGTGCTCTGACCAGGCATTGAACTCTCAACCTTTTGGTGCAATGGATGATGCTCCAATGGACTGAGCCACTTGGCCAGGGTTTGATCTATCATTTATTTTTTGGTTAATCCTCACTCAAGGATATTTTTCCATTGATTTTTAGATAGAGTGGGAGGAGGAGGAGAGAGAGAGAAATATCGATGTGAGAGAGACACATCAATTGGCTGCCTCCCACATGACCCCAAATGGGAACAGAGAACAAACCTAAAACCCAGGTATGTGCCCTTGACTGGGAATCAAACCTACAACCCTTTGGTGCACAGGCCAACATTCTAACTATTGAGCAAACGGGCCAAGGCTGGATGTACATTTTTAAGGGGTCCTTCTGTCTGCAGTATAGATTGGTCCTGGGAGGACAACAGGGGAAGCTGGAAGACCAGTGAGGAAACTTCCAGGCAAGAGCTGATGAATGAAATGCTGGGCTCATAGCTCAGTTTCACCACTGACTGGAGCTGTTACTACATCTTTCTAAGTTTTTTATTTCTCAATCATAAAATAAATGTAGAAATGTGCTAACATAGCCCTGGCCGGTTTGGCTCCGCAGTTAGAGTGTCGGCCCATGGACCAGAGAGACCTGGGTTCAGTTACTGCTAAGGGCACATACCTCAGTTGCAGTTTTTACCTCTGACCCCAGTTTGGGTCATGTGGATGGCAACTATTTGATATGTCTCTCTCACATCAATATTTCTCTCTCTCTCTCCCTCCCTCCTGCTTTATCTGAAGATGAATGCAAAAATATCCTCAGGTGAGGATAAAAATAAATAAATAAAAAATAAAAAATGTGCTAATAGATATAAATGGTCTGGTGCATAGTCATTCAACTAATAAATAGCAAGATGGCAGAATTCCTTTTTTTTTCCCTCACTCAAGGACATTTTTCCATTTTTTGTTCAGTTAGAGTGGGAAGGAGAGAGTAAGAGAGAGAGAGAGAGAAACATTGACGTGAAAGGGACACATCGAGTGGCTGCCACCCACACGACCAACCAGGGCCGGGGACAAACCGCAACTGAGGTACGTGCCCTTAGCGGGAACCGAACCCGGGTCTCCCTGGACTGTAGGGGGACGCTCTAACTGCTGAGCCAAACCGGCCAGGGCTCCTTTTAAAAAATATTTTTTAAATTTAATCCTCACCTGAGAATATGTTTATTGATTTTTTAGAGAGAGGGGAAAGGGTAGAGAAAGAAAGAGAGAATAACATAGATCAGCCACTCCTCCCCACACACGACCACCCTGACTGGAAATCGAACCCACAACCTAGGCATGTGCCCTGACCAGGAATCAAACCTTTCAGTGCACAGGATGATGTTCCAACTAACTAAGCTACACTGGCCAGAGCCAGAAATCCTCCTTATTTGTAATTATATTAAATGCAAATGGATTAAGTTTTTCATTAAGTGGAAGGGATTGGTGGAATGAATAAGAAAACATGATCTAAACTCATGGTGTCTATAAGAGACATTCAAAGATGCAAACGGATTGAAAATAAAAGGATATGAAAAAATATACCATGCAGCCCTGGTGAGTAAGAATCACAGGTTTGATTCCCAGTCAAGGGCATTTACCTTGGTTGTGAGTTCAATCCCCAGCCCTGGTTGGGGTCATGTGAAAGGCAACCAACCAATGTATCTCTCTCATTCTCTCCCTCCCTCACTCCCACTCTATCTGGAAAAAAAAAAAAAAAAAAGGAAAAATATCCTCAGGTGAGTATTTAAAAAAAAGATATACCATGCAGTCCAGCTGGTGTGGCTCAGTGGTTGAGCGTCAACCCATGCACCAAGAGGTCGCCAGTTTTGATTCCTAGTCAGGGCACATGCCCAGGTTGTGGGTCCGATCCCCAGTGAGGGGCATGCAGGAGGTAGTCAACTGATGTTCTCGTTCATCCATGTTTCTCTCTCCCTCTCCCTCTCACTTCTTCTCTCTCTAAAAAGAATCAACTAAGGGGGAGGGGAGCATATGTGTGTGTGTGTGTGTGTGTGTGTGTGTGTGTGTATATATATATAATGTAAGCAGTATCCAAAAGAGAACTGGAGTGGCTATACAAAAGTCAAACAAAACAAACTTTAAGACAATAATTGTTACTAAAGAGAGGGACACTTCTAATGACAAGAGGGTCAATCCATCAGGAATACATAATTAGTAAAACATACATGCACCTAACAATGAAGCCCCAAAACACATGAAGCAAAAACTGACAGAACTGAAAAAAGTAGACAATTCAACAAGAATAGTTGGAGACTTCAATAGCTCATTTCCAATAATGGATAAAACAACTAGGCAGATCAGCAAGGAAATAGAAGATGTGAACAACACTGTAAACCAAGCAGACATAACAAACATCTATAGAAAACTCCACCCAACAATGGCAGAATACACATTCTTCTCAAGCACATGTAGAACATTCTGTAGGATAGACCATATGGTAGGCCATAAAAAAGCCTCAAGTTTAAAAAGGACTGAAATAATACAAAACATGTTCTCTGACCACAGTGGAAATAAATTAGAAATCAATAACAGAAGAAACTATTCGCAATTCACAAATATATGAAAATCAACATTCTCCTAAATAACTGATGGGTCAAAGAAAAAATCACAAAGGGAATTAGAAAACGCTTTGAGATGAATTAAAATTAAAATACATTACAAAAATTTATGGGATGCAGCTAAGAGAGATGTGACTTAGAGAAATGTGATTACATTAACAAAGAAAAAAGATATCATATCTATAGCCAAACTTTCCACCTTAAGACATTGGAAAAAGCAGAGCAAACTAAACCTAAAGCAAGCAAAAAATGATTTAATAAAGATTAGAGTGAAAACTAGTGAAATAGAGAATAGAAAAACCATAGAGGAAATCAATGAAACTAAAAACCTGTCCTTTTGGAAAGATCAACAAAATGAGCAAACCTTTAGCCTTACTGACCAAGAAAAAAAGAGAATACTCAAATTACTAGAATCAGAAATGAAAGAGGGAACATTACTATTGACCCTATGGAAATAAAAACAATCATAGCCCTGGCCGGTATGGCTCATTTGGTTGAAGTATCATCCCATTCAACGAAGGGTCATGGGTTTGATTCCTGGTCAGGGAACATATCCAGGTGACAAGTTGGATCCCTGGTTGGAACACTTATGTGAGGCAACTGATGGATGTTTCTCTCTTACATCAATGCTTCTCTCTCTCTCTCTCTTTCTCCCTTTCTCAAAAAACCAATAAAAACATACCCTCAGGTGAGGATTTAAAAAAATTAAAACAGCCCAGCCAGTGTGGCTCAGTGGTTGAGCATCGACTCATGCACCAAGAGGTAGCCCATTTGATTCCCGGTCAGGGCACATGCCCAAGTTGTGAGCCAAATCCCCGATGGGGGGCATGCAGGAGTCAGCCAATTGATGTTCTCTCTCATCAATATTTCTCTCCCTCTCTCCTTCTCCCTTCCTCTCTCTCTCAAATCAATAAAGAAAAAAAATTATAAAGGAATACTGTGAACAATTGTATGGCAACAAATTAGATAAGATAAGTTGGATGAAATAGACAAATTCCTAAAAAGACAAACTACCAAACCTGACTCAAAAAGAAATAAATAAGCTGGGGTGAGGGGGAGTGGGGAGGAGGGGGGTCAATGGGAGAAAAAAGGGGGGACATCTGTAATACTTCCAACAATAAAAATAAATAAACAAATAATCTGAAAAAACATAAAACGAGCCCTGGCTGGTTTGGTTCATTGGTTAGAGTATTGGCCCTTGGACCAGAGAGTCCCGGGTTCAGTTCCGATTAAGGGCATGTACCTCGGTTGCAGTTTGTCCCCAGACCCAGTTGGGGTTGTGTGGGTGGCAGCCACTCGATGTGTCTCTCTCACATCAATGCTTCTCTCTCTCTCTCTTCCTCTCTCCCTCCTGCTCTATCTGAGGATAAATGCAAAATGTCCTCGGGTAAGGATAAAAAAACAACAACAACAACCATAAAACATGTGACAAATTTGAAATAGTAGCACAGGCCCAGATAACTTCACCACTTAGTTCTGTCAAATAGTTGAAGAAGAATTAATACAAATTCTTCCAAAAATTAGAAAAATTTCAAGCTCATTTTATGAGGCTAAAATCAGACAAGGACATAACAAGAAAACTAGAATATGGATGCAAAAATCCTCAACAAAATACTAACAAACTGGATCCAGCAACATATAAGACAAATAACCCAATTGAAAATAAGCAAAGATCCAAATAGACATTTCTCCAAAGAAGACATACAAATGGCCAGTAAGCACATGAAAAGATGCTCAACATCATTAGCCATCAGGGAACTGCAACTCAAAATCACAATGAGATACCACTCTACACCCCCTAAGATGGTTAGAGTTAAAAGTCAGATGATAGTAAGTGTTGGTAAGGATGTGGAGAAACTGGAATCTTTACACATCGATGGTGGGAATATAAAATGATGTAGTCATTCTAGAAAACAGTGTGGCAGTTCTTCATAAGATTAAACAGTTAGCATATGA